CCAGTGGTTTTTTGTGATGTGACTGAGACCACGGTATAAAGTCCAGTGCCCGGAGTCAAGAAGTCCCTCCAAATCTCAGTTCCCTTCACCTTAGACAGCCGGGAGAAGGCCCAAAGAAGAGGTGAGGGTGGTGCCACTCCTGAGAGCATCTCACCAACCCCCATCCCACAGACAATTCTTGTCATGGGCTGAAATACGTCCCTCCCTCCCCCCGGTTCTTATGTTGAAATCCTAACCCCCAGGACCTCAGAATGTGACTTGATCTGGAAATAGGGTTGTGCAGATATAATTAGTTAAGATGAGGTTATTGGGGTGGGCCCTACTCCCATTTGATTGGTATCCATATAAAAAGGGGAAATGTGGCCACAGAGACACACACATAGGGAGAACCCTGGGTAAAGATGAAGACAGAGATCAAGGTGACACTTCTGCAAGCCAAGGAGTCCCAAGGATGACCGGGAAACCACCGGAAGCTGAAGGAGAGGACTGGAATAAGATGCTGCCTCACAGCCCTCAAAAGAAACCAACCCTGCCGACACCTTGATCTCAGACTCCTAACCTCCAGAACGGTGGGACACCCTTCTGTTGTCCTGGCCACTCAGTTTGCGGTACTTTGTTAAGGCAGCCCTCGCACGCTTATCCACCTCCAGAGATGGCTCCTATTGGTGACATTGAGGAGGAGAGCTCTTTTCAGACAGAAGGAGGCACTGCGGTCCCACAGAAAGGAGGGAGATGCTTGCCAGCCCCGGGAGTGCTTCCGCCCAGCCCCCAACTCCGCAGGCCAGCTACCCCTGTACTGCCCTGAAAGAGCAGTTTGCCATCCGAGGTCCCTCTGCTCAAAGCCCCCGAATCCTCAGGAATATCATCTTTTAGCCACAATGGTATGTCTCTTTGTGTCTCTTTGTGATTTTACTTCCATATTTGTCCATGTTTCGTCTTCCCAGAGTGACTGCACACTCCCTGGAGGCTAGGGCCATGTTGCAAACCACCTGGGAGTCAGGACCTCTTTGATAAAAATTCTGGGTGTGACCTTAGTCATGTCGCCTTTCCCATGGCTTCTGCACCTGTAGACTAGGATCATAATCACAAAGGCCCCTGCAGTCATGCTATTCTGTGATTCTGATTCTAAGCATGCTTCATATTTAACCAACCTGCCTGTTCAAAGTACAAAAGGGAGGAGAGACCCAGGAAACTCATCTCTTAAATGTACTGAGAAGCCAGTCCCTTGGGGTTACATGGGTCAGAATCATTTAATAAAAGGGCAAGACCCCAGGGGCTTAGGGGTAAGAAAGTTTTCCATGGGCTCCAAGCCCCACTGAGTGCCCTTCCTAGACTCCAAGACCCTCCTGCTTCAGTGCCTGCCTCTCTAGAAGCCACTTCCTTAGTGATGCTGAGGCTTTCTTCTCCTTCGATGAAGGTGCGTGGCCCTGGATGCTATGTCCCGTGCACCCACCAAGGCTGGGCTGCTGCGTGCCTTTTAGAAGCCTCCTGCCACTGCTTTGAGGGCTAGGAGGAACACGGTCTTTCCATGTGGTTGCAGTATGTTGGATGGACCACTCTTCGTGTCTTCCCTGGGAGGGATCACAGCATACCTCAGCCTGAACCCAATCTAAGAGTGTTGAAGGGCCTTCCTGATGGCTGACGCCTCAACTGGATACCTGTGTAAATTGTGCTCTTTCAGTTCCAGGAAACAGGGACTCACACAGACCAGACCAAGTACGGTGGGTGATATAGGAGTAGAGGTAGAGACCTTACTATGAAGCGGTTATAAAAGGGATGGAATCTTCTAGAAATCTGAAACCAGAATCCCCAATCAATGGCAAGCTTCCTAGAACCTGGTACTGGAAGGACATTCTAGTTGCAAGCCTTCTCCAGGGACCTCACTGTGGTGCCATTAATGAAACCCAGCTTCTCTCCAGAGGGTCAGCTTCTCTCTGCATCATTTTCCTTCTCTTCCTTATTCCACCTCTCTTAGTGTTTTGCAAAGCATGTCTCTGGTAGAATGTGAGACAATTTCTAGAAGGCATATGAGTGAACATTTTTATTTTGAAGACTAACTCTATTTTTATTTATATGGGGGGAACCATATCTTAAAAGTGAGTCGATTTAAAGAAAAATAGTGCATAAATATTCAAGGTATGATGTTACAGCAAAATCATGAAGGTGGATCACAAAGGACTGAAATTAGAGAAACACTGGACTGGCTGGTCATCTTCATATTTCACTACAAATCCCCAGGACATAGGATCTTATGGCCCAACTCATCAGCGCCCCCTCTCAGGCAGCTCTTTACCTGCTGTGATAGGCTGCAGGCCTGCCTGTGGGATCCAGCGTCCATCCTTAGACAAATCAGGGGTCAGGGAGGTATGGTATGAAATGTGGCTGTCCGTGGTCTGACTCTTCCTCCAGGGCTGGGGACAAGGCAGTTTCTTTTGGAAAATTCTGTGTACAGGTGTAGTTTGATGTGTTATTATGGGCCCCCGGTTCCATTGTAACTCCTGTGGCACTGCTGCTGTTCTGGAGTTTCTGAGGTTTCCATCCTTCTGTCACCTCTACTCTGAGGAGTGGTTGTGAGATTGAATGTGATCATTGATACCAAGGTGTTTTGAAAATCATAAGCACCTCACAAATGCAAGATGTTATTACCACATTTAATAAATATACTACTATGAGTGACAGACAGAGGGATGGGAACCCAGATTCCAAAGGAAATAGCTCATTTTCCCCAAGAAAAGGAAATGATTGAAGTTCTACCAACAAGCAGTTGTGTGAACTCAGATTAGTTGGCCACTTCTTAGCTGTGTGACCTTGGACAAGTCCCTGCCTCAGTTTTCTTATTTCTAAAATGGGAACATTTGTGACTGTGCTTCCTTCCCTCAGGGTGGGGCCAGAGGCAGGAGACTGCCCTCCACTCTCTGCCCCAGGGCACCCTAGTTTCTTTATCTCAGTCCCTTCGTGGGTTGAGGACAGATTTGAACTAGGTAATCCTTGCCATCCCCCATCCCTTCCAGCTCCTAAATTGATTCTAACCAACCCCCCTCTCCAGGTCCACCCTCCAACCACCACCCTGGTCCTTAGAAACCTTTCCTCTAGAAACCCCACAACATAGAGAAAAACATCACCCTGTTTTGTAAGTTATGCATTTGTGAAAAGTTGCGTTCATGCCACGCTTTTGTAGTAAAAATTTTATATTCCCTTTGCCCTAGCTTATCTGCTTAGAGATGTTTGCCTTTTACTTATTATTGATTGTCAATTGGCTGCAGTTACTCTTTGATCTTCCCTTTTGTTTGAACTTGAATGCCACCCACACTGTCTGCCCCAGCCCCTCTATTAAACAGTAATGATACGTAAACAATCTCAGAGGCCCTTGGGGAGCAAATCGGCCCTGAGGCCAGCCTCCCTCGGGCCTGTGAATTGTCATTCCTGAAGCTGTCTGTTTTGTAAGTTCTTCTGCCAAGTTTCTGTGGGAGCAGAGGGATCATTTTCTCCCTTTTCAAAGAGCAGGGTGAGCTGAGGCCTCGAGCTGGCAAGTCCTTTAAAGTCATTTTCAAAGGAAACCTGAGTTGCAAGGCCATGTGGCTGGCAGAGGGCGGTGTGACTTTCTGAGGCTCTCTCTGGGGCTTTGGGTGGTCAGCTCCTGCAGCCTTCCCAGCACGTGCTCGGAGCCTGCTGCAGAGGCACTGCCAAGGGACACCACTGTCCAGCCAGAGGCCCGAGGGCACAGCAAAGGCTCTGCTTCATGTCCCCACCCCACTGCCACTGCCACCCAGGAACGGGAAGAGGGGAGTGAGGACTTTCTCCTCTGTACCGGTGGCCAGGACCACACTTGTCCTCACTATTCTTACTTCTCATCCATCAAACTTGGTTCTTGAGGTTTTCTGAGGTAAAATAAAACGGGGTGTCAAAGTAAGCCAGGGTGAACTTATGTCTGAATTATGGAATCATAAACAATCTAGTTAATCCAATCCCCTCAGGGGTGGTTGGGAAGGGGACCCAGAGAGGGGATGGTTGTCCCAAGTCACACAGGAGGAGGTGGCTGACTTCCAACACAGAGTTCTTGGGACATAGAACACTTCTGCAGGGATGGAGATTGGCTTGGCTCGTATCAATGCATAAAGTTTCTGGGTCTATAGATGTCTGTCCATCACACAGCAGACAGCAAAACGTCTCCAAAGACACCAAGGCTGAGGAATGCGTGAGTTGAGGCAGATGCCTCCGTACTGTCCTTGGACCCCAGCAGAGAGAAATTGTTTATGAAGCCAGGAGGTGATGAGTCTTCTCACTTCACAGAAAGGGCAGAATCTCCAAGGCCCAGGGGAGGAAAGGACACATACATTGGTGTCAGAAGGGCTATAACTGAGGTCATTTATCTAAAGCTCAGCCTAGAGCTCTGAGTGAGAAATAAAGTGAATGAAGCTGGTTAAAACAACTACCAAAAAAAACAAACAGAAAGAGGAGGGAACTGGCCAGAGATAGAGGCGAGAGGTCCATCCAAAACCCCCCACCTGAGCGCTTCATGACCAGAATCTGCAGTCTTTGGTCCAGCCTGTTGCCAGGGGCCAAAGGTGTAGGTCCCTGCCCAGCCAGCAGGAGCAAGCCCCAGCCTCTGCCTTTCTGAGCCCCCGTGGCCAGTGGCGGCTGCCCTCCGTGAGCACCTCCCACCAGGTGAAGAGCTGGGGAAACAGACTCATCCAAGTCTCAATTCCGGCACAAGGAAAAAAATCCCAGAACAAACCGACTTGACTTTTCAACATTTTATTCTTGTATTTGTACAGCTATATTTTACAACTCAGTAATGCAGTTTAGACACAGCCAAACCCTGTCTCCGGAGTAGTTATAACACGAGCATGACGCAGAATGGGATGAGACAAACATTCCCAAAGAGAGCTTAGTTAGTGATAACTCCAAGTCCCTGTGTCTGCCTACACTTCCAAAAGGGATGGTGCGGTCGTTGCCCGCTGAAAACTTCCATGAAAAAAAGGCACCGTAGGACACGTGGTACAGGTATATACAAACCGAAAACTAGAACAAAACTACACGTTTTTCCTTCCGCAGCTTTTTTTGTTCTTTTTTTTAATACACACTTTGTAAATTGTAAACCTTCACTTGCAAAAAAATACAAATACACTGAGGCATTTTAGACAAAATATTTTCTTACTTATACAGATGCAATACTTAAAATATTCTCTTAAGTGCTCTTTCTCATAAAGATTCTCAGATCCGTGTCTGCCTGCAGATACAAAATCGAGCCTTTAACGCGGTTTTATATTTTTAATATATCTTTTTTAGGTTTATATATATTTATTTTATATATATATATATTTATATATTTACAACTCTGCCATATATTCCTTCACCTTTGGTTAAAAAAATTAAAGCCCTCTCTTTGATAACATACCGAAGTCTCTTCTTTTAAAAGAATGCACATTTACATACAAAAGAAACAGCTGATCCCACAAAACATATACATTCCTCATTTTGCAGACTGAGTCAAGTCAGAACTTTTGCATACTCCCCCAGCTTCGATATATAAAATGATTTTGCTTTTTGCTGACATGGTTCGCCTTACACATAGGAGAAGAAGCAGTATTATTTTCTTAATGTTTTACGGCAGTGGGGGGGGGGGGGGGCCTGGGCCCCCCCCCCCCCCGCCCCTCCCCCACCCCCCCACTCCCCCAGCTATGATTTGCACTAGTGGATGAAAGAGGCACTACATCATGGGATGAACATGGTAAAGTGTTACAGTATCCTTTGGGTAGATTCTGAGAAGGGGCTCGAATGGAAAGCATCAACACTCCATGCTTCAGCAGGCTTTGGGGAGCTCCGGGGGCAGGTCAGTGGCGGACACACGGTATTGCACCTTGGTGTTGGTAATGGCACCGTGCTTCTGGCGCAAGTGAAGACGCAGCTGGCTTTTGTGACGGAAATGCAGGTTACATTTCTCACACTGGAAGAGAACCAGAGGCAAACTGTTAGTCATCAACTCAAGAAACATGTCATTACTCAAGGACCTTGAGAAGGAGATTCTCCCTTCAAGGGATGGGGCAGCTCTTCCCTCTGGAAGGCCAGTTTGAGAACCCACATGAATTCTGGCTTCTGCTAAGGGACAAGTAAGCTGTGTACAAATGTCCCTTCCTTGCTTTCCAAAGTGTTGGTCATGCTTTTACCCCACTTGAGATGAATTTCCCTGCTTCAGCTCCACAAGTTCAAGTCTAAACCAAAAATGCAGTTCCGATGCAGACTCCCCAAATTTTTAAGGCTTTCCTGAATCCCTCAAGGATGAAAATAATCCCTCTTTCCTTTGACTTCTGTAAGATTTCTAGCCTTGCCATGTAATGCCAGATAGCCTTGCCATCCCATGCATTAGCATCCTTCTCAGGTAGGGAATCCTTTGATGGTGGTGAGCACTTCTTACTAAACTTTATAATCTTCCCAGTTCCTAATAGAATATACCTCAGACAATTATGCAATAAATCTGAACATATCTGGATAAATGGATTAGAACAGTCTGAATTCATAAAAATTCTGGAATCTAGGATATGCTTAAAAAATACAGTTATATTCCTTTACGTTAGTGTGTACACCTCAGATCAGCTAACAAGGCATTAGCAAGTAGAGCTGTTTCTTGCTTTGATTCGATGAATGGATGATAATGGTTTTAGTGGGAAAGTTCTTTAAAAATAAAATGGATGACTAAATGTAATGGGGTAACCTGATGCAATCCTGGAACAGAAAAACATTTTAGGTAAAAACTAAGAAAACCCAAATAAAGTATGGACTTCAGTTAATCATAACGTACCAGAATGGGTTCATTAGTTGTGATAAATGTACCCTAGTAGTAAGACGTTAGCAACAGGGGAAAACTGGGTATATATGGGAACTCTCCATACTATCTTTGCAACTTTTCTATAGATCTAAAACTATCCCCTAGAGGCTTCCCTGGTGGCGCAGTGGTTGAGAGTCCGCCTGCCGATGCAGGGGACATGGGTTCGTGCCCCGGTCCGGGAGGATCCCACATGCCGCGGAGCGGCTGGGCCCGTGAGCCATGGCCGCTGAGCCTGCGCGTCCGGAGCCTGTGCTCCGCAACGGGAGAGGCCGCAACAGTGAGAGGCCCGCGTACCGCAAAAAAAAAAACAAAACACAAAAAACTATCCCCTAATAAAAGTGTAATAAAATATGTTCATATAGAGAATATGTTTTAAAATAAAAATGGAAATATATTTAGAAAAATTAAATGGGCAGGCAGTGAGTAGAAAGAGCCCCGGTCTTGGGAGACAAGGGCCCCTCATATCTATGGCACCCACTGCTGTGTGTCCTGAGTGCGGCATTTCTCTCTGAGCCTTGGCTTTTGCTTCTGTAAGGGACTGGGTCAATACACTCTGAAGGTCACTCTTAATTCTGACATTCCTGTGCATCTAAACATCCACAAAATAATTGAAACAGCAAATATGTACTGGACTCTCACTATGGGCCAAGCACTGTTCTGAACACTTCAGGGAATCCATTAATTTAATATGACTCCATGAGGTAGGTGTTATTATCAGGCTAATTTTACAGATGAGGAAATTAAGGTACAGAGAAGATAATTAATTTGCCCAAGAACAAAAGCAAGTAAGAAGATGTTCACTCAAGGATTGATAAACAACTGAATGAAAGTAACCACCTTTTCAGGTTAACATTTGCGATATGGGTTAACGATTTACTCATTCGTCCTTGTGCCCATCACGACCTAGAGCGATGCCATAAACTCAGCAAAGCCAGCCTCATCTATAACAGTAGTTTCCACACCTGTAAACCATGGGACTCTTTTTTCAAATTAAATGGAAACATTCCCGTCCTGTCCTGCGGGGTTGCAGAACCTCAGTGATTGAAAGAGCACAGTTTGAAAACTGCTCATCTACAGCATCCTCTCTATTTCATAGAGAAAGAAAACTGTGGCCCAGTGAGAGGGTCAGGGTTTGCCCACAGCCCTAAAATGGGTCATTGTCAAAGCTGGAATAAGAACCCAGATATCTCAGCTACCTGGCCAGTATCTCTCCCCTTTACAGCAGAGATCGGCAAACTGTTTCTGTAAAGAGCCAGACAGTAAATATTTTACGCTTTGTGGGCCTGATATTCTCTGACACAACTACTCAGCTCTGCATTATAGTGTGAAAGAGGCCAGAGACATACGTAAACAAGTGAGCCTGGCTGTGTGCCAATAAAACCTTATTTGTGGACATTGAAATTTAAATTTTATATAATTTGTATGTCACAAAATATTATTCTTTTGATTTCTTTTTAGCCATTTGAAAGTATAAAAACCATTCTTAGTTCATGGAATTTCAAAAATTAGCCCACAAGCCATAGTTGGCTGAGACCCTACCCTAGAACACTGTGATTCCAATGGCCCGATCATGGCCTTTCGCTGCTGGTCACCTGAAGTTGCCTTTTCTCTGTTTTTTTCCCTTGTATCACCACATTCTTCTGGTTCTCCTCCTACTCTATTGACTGCCCCTCCTCAAACACCTTAGCTCCTCTGAAGCAGACATGTAGCCCAGTTTAGGGCCGTGCTGGAAGCACTCAATAAGCGACTGTGGAATGAATGAATGACTCCGATATCTATGTATTCACAATTCAGGCCTCTTTCCTAAGGCCCGGATCACCTAGCCCAACACGTCCACTTTAAAGATGAGCAAACTAAGACTCAGGCCAAGGTCAAGCTGGTTGTCTTAGGACCATTAGAGTTCAGTGGTCATCCCACTGCGTGCCTGAGATTAGAGCAAACAGTCCTGCGGCCCCAGCCCTCCACCTCCGCACCCATCCCAGGCCAGACAGCAGCCACGAGAGGCTAACGTACATGGTAAGGTTTCTCTCCCGTGTGGATTCGCAGGTGGCTCTTCAGAGTCTGAAGGTGCCGGAAACGGGTGCCACAGATTTCACAGGGATAGGGCTTCTCGCCAGTGTGGATGAGCACGTGGGCACGGAGGTGGGCCACCTGCGCAGGAGAGCAAAGAGCGAAGTGAGAGGCTCTGCCGGGGTGGGCTACAGACACGCTGCAGCCTCTCAGCGGCACCCGGGACTAGGGTCCTTCCCCACGCCCTCTGCTCACCTGGACAAATCTGGCTCCGCACGTTTCGCACTTGTAGGGCTTCTCTCCGGAGTGAATTCGGGTGTGGGTTTTCAGGTTGGCTGGCCGGTTGAACTGGGCCCCGCAGATGTTACAGCGATAGGGCTTCTCACCTGTTACCGAGAGAAGGGGAAAAGGCAAGCCACACTCAGCAGAGGTCTCCACAGTCCCCGAGCCCTGGATTTCAAAGCAAGCTGCCCTTCCTGGGGCCACTTTGGCTTTCCTTCCCTTGGAAGATGTCAGAGAGAGGCGTCAGGGGTTGGCCACCCCTGCCTGCCAGCCCTCTCTTACACACGCACCAGCACACCTCGCCCACGGCCAGGCTCAAGAAGCAGGTGGTGACGTGGAGGGAGGGAAAGGACGCAGGGCGTGGGACAAGGAGGGAGCGAGGTTCCAAGAACCAGCCTTTTCATTGGGATTATCTAACTGTGGGACGTGGACATGTCACTCTCCTTCTCTGGGCCTCAGTTTCCCTCTCTGGAACCCAAGGGGTGAGTTTAGATGACCTGGGAAGGCTCTTCTAGCTCTTCCCTTGGGTAAGACTGATTCAGTCATCAACCCACTCCCCAGAGAGACACAATCAGGCCGCTCTAGTTTCTCTCCTTGAGAACAAACACGCTTTTCCGCTTGTGGCAACTACAGCTGGATTCCATTTGCACGAGAGCTGGGGCCCGAGTTGGAGTAGTTGCTCAGACAGAGGAAACCAATAGAAGGGCCGAGCCTTCCTTCATGGAAAGTTTCTGGGATAATAGACCCATTTAAAATACCAGGAGAGAGTCAACTTTGGACAACAATCAGGTTATTAGACGCTACCTGGGAAAGGAATGTGAGTTGATAAGGAACAAGCCCTTAGAGGGAATCAAGAGGCCTTTAGCGTTTTTCTGATTTATAAAAACCGAATCGACTTTGCCCCTCTCAGCCAAAGTTTCTTCCCCTGTGCAGTGGGATTAACACTTCCGACCCCAGCAAAGGTGGAGAAGCAAGACAGAGCCTGTCAGAGGAAAGACAAAGGATGTGGGGAGTGGCTGGGTCACTAAGCAAAGACATGGCGGGGCTAGGCCAGCACTCAGGCCAGGGCAGCACCTGCCCCCTGCCTCACCCCACCGGGCACCAAGGCCCTACACTGCTTTCTCGAGAATGCTCTCCCCGCCCTGCCCCTGGGGAACCCTGGTGAGCTCGGGGGGTGGGGGCAGGGTGTACAGGGCCATACCCGTGTGGACGGTCTTGTGGCTGGCGAGGTTGCCCTTGTAGCGAAAGGAGGCCTGGCAGCGGTCACACTTGTAGGGTTTGTCACTGTGGGTCTGCAGCGTATGCCTCTTGAGGGAGGCCTCCTCAGAAAAGCGGCAGTCACACTCATTGCAGAAGAAGGCCCCGTTCTCTGTCGGAGGGTGGGAGGGGGCACCAGCGTCAGCACCACAAGGAAGGGAGGTAGGGCTCCGAGGCCTCCCCACTCTGGAGCTCCCCCCAGGGCCAAACTGAGCCCCCAGCGCCCTGTCTGCCCAGGGTTCACGGGAGCCCAGAGCAAAGGGCCTGTGCGGATTCTCTTTTTCTTAGCATTTAGAGTCTCGATCGTGGAGGCGAAAGGAGACAGATTTGAATATTAAGGTATAGGAGGGAAACTCAAACCCACAGGTACCCACATGGCCTGTGCCAGCTTGAGGAAAGCTTGGCACTTCCTTCTCTCGAGAGCTCTGAGAACTGACTTTCCTTATCAGGTCATAGTTCTACTTACATTCATACACAGAAGCCCTCGGGTAAGACAGCCTCTGTCTGTGTCTCTATCTCCAAAATCAGGATAATAAACCCCTGTCCTGCCTACCTCGCAGGATCACGTTGTATAACATAAAGCATCATAGGAATGTAAGATATGAATCAAAGTCAAAGATACTTTGAGGTCATCAAAGGAGGAATTAATGATGACCATGGTCACCCCTGCACCTATCTGGACTTCATGTCTCCCAAACAGTTTGAGATAGGGAGACCAAAGATGATGGTGGAAGTAGAAACACAGGCCCAGAGAGAAGGAACTGGAGTGTAGAGCAAAGGCAAATGGCCACGGGGCCAGGAGGGGACAGTCCCTGCTCTCCCAACTATTGGTCCATGACCCTGTGCCAAGCCTCTGAGTGTAAATAACTAATTTTTTCTTTTGTTTTAACAATTTGGAAATGACACATCATGGCGGTTTACCCCCGAAGTGGCATCACTGGGCTATCCTGCTACAGACAGAGCTGGAGGAAGAGGTAAAAACTGGGGAGGCCAGTCACACACTATCCAGAAATAATTATATTAATAATTAATAATTATTAATAACCAGTTCAACTAATCGAATTCAGCTGACAATAACTGAGTGCCTACTCTGTGCTAGGCTCACTAGGCCCGATGGGAAATGCAGGCATGAATAAGGCCGGACTCTTCTCCTTCTGGAACGTACAGCCTAGCAGGGTGAACCAACACGCACACCAATCAGTTTGGGTCCAGTGGGCCTGAGAAGGCTCCGGGAGCTGGTTATAGCCAGCCCCACAGCCAACTTTGCTGGAAGGAAGCTGAAAGGGCTGTGTGGTCCTTCTGTAGTCCCCCAGATTAACTCAAATTCCCCAACCCTTGCTTTGGTCAACCTAGTTCCCTACGAGGTCAAGAGTGGGACTATGGGTTGCTGATTTAAATGCCATTGGACTTCCAACCAGGGGCTTCTCCCAATCAATGACAACAGCGTAAATAAAATGGAAACACAAGGCCTGCGGAGCAGAGGCAGAGGCCAGGGGAGGGAGGGGAAGGAACTCACCACAGCTGGAATCTGAGTACTCAGACTGGGTCTCTCCCAGCTCCTCGGGGAACGTGGGACCAGTGGCGTGGAGGCACATCTCTGCGTGCTGCGGGGACTGAGAGCCACAGGACGTGCACTTGGGGGCGTGCAGGTAGAGCGGAGAGTGGCTCTCACTGCTGCTGCGTGGGGAGCCGGTCAGTGACCTGCGGGGGTGGGAGGAAAGGGCCTCAGCAGCTGGAGCAGGGCAGAGCGCTCTGCCTGGCATTTTTGCATCCCCTCTTCCCTGTGCTCAGGGCAGCCCAGAGGCCACTTGGAATCTGGAGTCACAGAGTTATTTATCCCCAAGCCTACCTCCAAATAGCAGACACATGGAGATCACTGATGGGGGCCACACTGAGCCCAAACTCCACTCCCGGGCCCAGTTTCCTCCCCTCAGTGCTACAGTCCACAGCCTCCCTCGGTCCAAGGCAAGGAAGAGGACTCCCGCCTGCCACAGAGATCGCAGGAGCCTGGGATTCTTGGAATGCTCGTCTACCATGGAGGGGAATTCTCTCTCTCTGTGAAAATATACCGAAGCTCAAGGTCCTTCCTCACTTAGGCCAATTCAATCAATAGGCCTTGGCCCATACCTCCAATGTGCTCAGCATTTCAGGCAAGAGCAGAACACAGCGCCCTGCACCCATCAGAAGTGACCCCAGAACCCTGCCCCGGTAAGCCCCGACCCCAGGTCCGGACTGCCTCTGAAATCACCTGTTGACGATGTTATTGAGCCTGCTGGCCTGTGGGATGGTGGAGTCCTCCCCACTGGTGCTGAGCTTGGTTGGGGACTGGAGGTCAAGGGTCTCGGGCTCCATGGGCGGCTGGCAGGCCGCTGGGGCAGTGTAGGCTCGAGGGGAAAGGCGGCCCAGCTCGGCCTGCTCGGGCCCCTCTGGTTTGGCATTCTGGTTGAGGCTGTTGAGCACGATGAACTTGTACTTCTTCCAGTTGCAGGCTTTGGGGTCAGTGGGGCTTTTGGCCGGAGGGGACCCGGAGGTCTGGAGGATGCAGGCGTTCTTGCTGCTGCAGGACTCCGTGGGTGAGTTGGGTTGGCAGTCGGACTTCTGGGGGCTCTGCGGGCTAACCAGACCCTTCCGGTTCAGGGGTGCATTGGGCGGCTCGAAATGCAGGGCAATCTCATCCTCCGACGAGGGCCTCTCTTCTTCTTTGCCGGCCTTGTCACAGGCGAAGTATGGGGCGCTCCGGGCCGAGGGGGCAGCAGGCTTGGGGCCCTCGGCCACACTGTAGTGCATATCACTCCGTGCCTCCTCCAGGGCTGCCTCCTTGGGTGAGTACACGTTGTTGTGGCCCACAGTGGGGGACAGCTCCATGGCCGGCCGACTGTACTCACTGGGGACTGGCCTGGCACTGTCGCAGGGGAGGGTCCGCTCCTTGGGGAAGGGGTTGGCCACAGGCATCCGGGCATCCCGCAGCTCCTCGTCGGAGAAGAGGAAGCTGCTGACCGGAAGGTGGCCATACATAGGGTACGAGGCTGGCGGCGTGGACAGGCCATTGTACAGGCTGGGGGCGAAGGCTCTGCTCTCACACCCAGGGGCGTTCCTCAGGGGCAGGCTGTTCTCCACCACCTCCCGGCCCCGATAGGCCATGATGTCTTGGGGCATCAGCATCCGGCTGTTCAGGAAGTCTTCACGGGGAGGCTTAATGGCAGGGACCATCTCTGCTTCACTGCAGGAGCAAAAAGAGAGAAGACCCCGGCCTCCAAATCAGAACCTTCCAAGTGACACTGGTCTATGAAACCACATTTGCACTTGAGTCAGTCAGACCTGGGCGATGTGGCTCTGGAGTAGGGAAACACTTGCAGTTACAAGGCAGTTCTGCTAAAAGTCTAGCAATCTAGCCCACAGCTGGGGAAACAAAGCCCAGAAAAGGGAAGTGAGTTACCCACACAATCAGTGCCTGTTTAGACGTGATTTTGTATGTTTAAGTCCCATATGTATACATATGCGTGAATCTATAATTATTCAAATGTTATAGAATATAAAGCTATCAGAGTCCTTATCTCATTTCATCCTTACAGAAGGGATGTAGATCAGGAATTACTGTCTCCATTTTACACACCTGGAAACTGAGCTTCAGGGAGGGAAGAACTTATACGATGTTGGTGCCACATGTTTGGAGGGTCTTTGTTATACTGGTGCCCTGTGAAGAAGGGACTCGCTCTATATACTGACTGGAGCCGTGGGGAAGTTTACTTTGGAGAACAGGCAGCACGTTCCAGCGTAGGAAGCCCTGGCTCTGCAGCAGCCAGACCTGGTTTCCAGTCCCTGCTGTGCCACTTAGCAGCTCTGTGACCTGGAGCAAGTTACTGAACGCTCCAAGCGCAAGGCCTGACCCAGAGAAAGCATTCATAATGATGATCTTGCCACCATTATCACCCACAGGAGACAAAGAGCTCAAGCTGCGTATACTTGAAGGGACATTATGTGGGTGAAAAATAGGCCAGCTCGGTCTGATCACAGTTAACAGAGCTAGAACCAAGGAGTGAAGGTGAAGGGAGCCAGATTTCAACTCGCTGTAAAGAAGAGCTTTCAAACTATCCAAGGGAGAACTGCATGGCTCTGGGAACACTGAGTTCCTGGCTCCTGGAGATGTTCAAACAGAGGCCGCAAACCTTTCTGTCTGAGAAGGGATGTAATTATCCTGGAGTAGCTGAATCAAACGGTTCTACAGAAGTCAAGCCCAAGTCTCTGTTCCACTTAGCAAAGCTCTTCCCTTCTTTGGCTCTCAGGTTCCTCATCTTTCCGTGATAGTCATGTCTTACCAGCCCTCAGGTAGGGGGCTAGACCCAGTGAACCCTATTTAATTCAATAAATGTTCTCTCCAGTAGGAGCAGGGTGACATAAAAGGTGAGTAAAGCAGCCCACAGTCTGGTGGGGGAACTAAGGGGCATATGTAAACAGTTACAGTGGAAGCCTAAAGGAGAACTAAAATATGTATGCAAATAGTGAAAACAGAGGCAAAGTCTAAAAGACAGGCAAAAGGCTTTCAGACACAGCTGAAGAGCTGAGGAAAGAGCAAAGTGATAACTGCACAAACATCTATGAAGAAGCTGGCATCCAGGCGTGGTCTTGCAGGATGGGTGGGAGGAAAGGGTCTATCAAGTGAATGGAAGGAAGCAAGAAGTGGGGATGCACATGGCATATCTAGGTAGCAGGAGTGTGCAAAAGCAGTGGAAAGGTAGGTTGTGGCATATCACAGAGGATTATTTCTTCTGTGTGCAAGCATTATCAATTGTTTCCGACCCTGTCTGATCCCTTCCATCTCCGAGGCTTCCATCTAGGCAGCAGCTCACCTGGCCTTGATGAACTTCCGGCAAGTGTCCACGACATGCTCCATCTGCAGGTACATAGCTGTGGCCATCACGGCCATGATGTTGCCCTCCCGCAGATTGAGCCGAGACGTGTACATGAAGTCCAGGAGGATGCAGAACCCCTCCGGGTTGATCTCAGGATCCAGGTTGATCACACTGAGGTTGCATTTCAGCTGGTCTGTGAAGATGCTGTAGAACAGGCCACTGTAAGACAAAGAAATGTCTCACTATAACAGACACATAGAAACTGTTATCAATTACAGTCACCACGGACGCTCAGCCCCTCTCCCCTGGACCTAGCTCCAGAGCTTCCATGGCAATTAATAATAGTTGCCATTTATGGAGAATTTACTAAATCCCAGAGAGTCATTACACACTTACATACACTATCCCGTGCTCCTCATAACCTTGCAAGGTAGATTCTATCCTTCTCTCCCTTTACAAACGGGGGAACTAAGATCAAAGAGGTCAAGTGAGGGCTTCCCTGGTGGCGCAGTGGTTGAGAGTCCACCTGCCGATGCAGGGGGGACATGGGTTCGTGCCCCGGTCCGGGAAGATCCCACATGCCGCAGAGCGGCTGGGCCCGTGAGCCATGGCCGCTGGGCCTGTGCTCCGCAACGGGAGAGGCCACAACAGTGAGAGGCCCGCGTACCGCAAAAAAAAAAAAAAAAAAAAGAGGTCAAGTGATTTTCACAAAGTCACAGAACCTGTATTCTTTTGGTCTTAACTGCACAGCTTACCAGAGCTAAATTTAGCATTCATTTGCAGTAACTATTTTGAGTCTATATCTTTGGGATAAGCATTTCTTTTCTTGTTCCATCACATTATCCTTATTTTTAAAATCTTATTGTATTTTTTTAGAAGCAAATTGGGTATTGATGACAAATAAAATGATGCCTACATCTACAGTTTACTGATTTTCTAAAAGTCCGTAGACGATCGCAAGGTCAGTACTCCTAGGAGAGCCAAGTCAGTGTCAAGCCAAGCCTCCAGGTACCATGGTGTCTGGTAGAGGAAAGAGCACTCAGTGAGTGGCCAAAATTCTGGACTGTCATCTGGATTCTACTCTTTCTGAGCGTGTTGCCAGAAGTGAGCTAGACTTCACCCAGTAGTTAGCTAGGCAACCTTGGGTAAGAGACTTCACTTCCCTGCACCTTGGTTTCCTTCTCTGCAAAGCAGAAACAAGAGTGTCTCCCTTACAGGCCTGTGGCAAGAATGAGAATGTGAAGGGGACAGATTGATGCCTGGCACATAGTAAGCATTCGGTTAGCGTTACCTATTCTTTTTCTCTCTCTATAAACCTCTCCACTATTTAAAACAAAGGTGCTTGTTGTAGATATTGAATAAGTCCTCTACTAGCAATCAAGATCCCTGGCTCTACATCAGTTTGCCTATGAATGTCTTCATTTTATCATCTATGAAATGGAGCTAATCGTGCCATCCGTAACACAGGCCACTATGGAGATCCAGGGAGGTGCTGTAACATAAATTGCTCTGAACACTTGAAATACTTGTCAAGTACGAAGAATTAGCCAGCTCACTTTCACCAACTTACATATGCTCGGAAACACCCATAGAAATATAGTCATGGTATAAATAAATACAGTCATAGAAAAAAAAAGAGCAAAAGATCTCAAATTAACTTGCTTAAAATATTTTAAAACTCGCTTTCACTTTTCATTTTTTCACTGGTTCACTGAAGTTAGTCTCCATGTTTGCCCAAAACACATCTCTTCCGGAGACAGTATATGATTTCTTCTCCCTCTATCCCCACAGAACAGAAACTCTTTCTTTTCTAAAAGTGTGTTCATTCGTTTGCTTCCTGAGAACCCACTCGGCCAGGCCATGTGCTGGAGATCTGGAGAAAAATGAGATGTGATCCCAAACACAGCCAGAGGCCTCCATCCTCCACACTGGCAGCCGGCACCATCGCTCCCCTTATATCCATCGTCCACCTTCCACTTCCAGACCCCTCACCTGCAGGCCATGAGGACCGTCTTATGGGCTCGGAACTGCTCCCGGCTCACCACTATGACAACATCCGTCAAGATGTCGCGGCTCCGGAGGCGATTAAGGTTGAGAAGAACGTCACTGGCGTGGCGGGTGAACTGGATACAGCTGTCAGCCGGTGAGGCCATTTTTTTCTTCACCTGAAAGAAAAGGTCAGAATCTTGTTAGTCCTTCAGAACCTGTTTCCTTCTTACCAGGAGTGTGAGAGCAGGTGGCTTAGCCTGCTCCCTTGTGTTTGCTTTTGAACAACTCATGGCACATCTCTGGGCATTACTCTTCATGTCTGTACAATGAGCTAATAATCTTTAACCAACTTGTTAACAGAAAACCCTACTGGGGAAAGAGGAGGGAATGAATATTTGTTGAATGTTTTCTCCACATACCAAACACGCTGCCAGCATTGAGAGGCAGTGAGTATGTGACAGGGGAGAGAAAGCATGCTTTGAAGGTTAGCACATGGGCCATACCTTTTGCAGGCTGTGTGACTTGGAGCAAGTTGTTTTACGGTTTCTGGGCTTCAGTTTCCCAAAATGGGAGTAGTAATTCCTATGCGGTTGTAAAACTTAGAGATACGTGCCTGGTCCACAGTAGATTCTCAAAAATCGTAGCTATTCTCATCGGCATCTCATTTCATTATCCCAGCCACCATCTGTCTCTCCCCTGCTAGGCTTCAGGATTGTCTGACTGTATCCTGAGCACCTAGCGCCTTGCTGGTGCAGAGTAGGTGGCTAAATTAATGGGAACCGAGAAACGAGTAAGAGAATGAGTGATCGCACAACAGTGTTAAGACAGTCGAATGCAGGGGCAAAGGGGTGGGGGCTGGGTGTGACGGACAGGCAACCGGCTCTCCTTTATCTCATCTAATGAAGAGTGGCACCATTCACAGAGACACATACATTGGCAAATTAAAAGAAAAGTTTGTCCACAAAATTGTAAAGCATATAATTCAATTTACTTACCCAATGCCTTGATTCACAGTCCAAAATTTTGCTTAAAACCTGCAGGGAAGATAAAAAGCAAACAGAAATTGATTTAATGAATGTAAGATTGTCCACTATAGTCTTATTTTAGGACACACATATTTAGTTTTACTTTGATAGCTGCAGCCTGCCAGCTGGTGCGGTTTTACCACAAGCTAGCAAACAGTTTTTCCAGCTCGGCTCTTACGGAAACAACGGGCATCCAAAGCCATGCGATAATAATGTTTTTACCCTGAGTACTGGGAATACAATTTCATACATTAATTACATATACATAGACACATTTATTTCCTCTCTCAGAGTAAAAAATGTATGCCATCCAAAGGCCCTTGAGTTTATGGGAAAGAAAAAAATAATGAAAGTGATTCTTTCAATACTAATGAGAATGATCCTTCAGGGGCCTAAAAACTCTGGATGCTTTTCAAAACCTGCTAAAATATTATCTTTCAAGGCCTAGAATGACTCCACAAGGCCAACAGGGTCAACATCTTTGTCCCTATTTCACTGATGACAAAACTGAGACTTGGGTTCAAGTGGCTTGCTCAGGACAAACAGCTAGGCAGTATTTCCTGACTAGCTGAAACACTTAAGACGGAATAAGGAATCTGCAGAATACAGCCTGAGATGGTATATCTACTCTTCTCTCCTTTTTTGAAATTTCCCCTCCCATCCCTCTTGGGCCTAAGACCAGATACAGGGCTACAAACTTCCGAGTTTGTGCTTCCCCCTGCTGGTGAAAGATTTAACTGTGAGGTTTAGCTGAGAACCGGCCAGGAAGCGCTTAGGAAATATGGACCCTCTCCAAACTGGTTTCTCTAAAACAAAATAATTTAAAGCATAGGTGAAAGACTATCATTTATGATCACATGTGGGCTGCAAAACAAAACAATATTTGAAACCACAACCCCCCCCTTGCCCGACTTTTTTTAAAGTGTAGCCCTTTAGAGTTATCTTCCGGGTAAAGGGGCCCGAGGCCAGGGAGGTCATATTGGGCCACATAAACGGTGAGTGACCTGGCCCTAGGTCTTCTGGCTTAAATTCCTGTTCCCTTTCCAAATCAGCCTACGTGCTGTAGAACATGCAAGACAGCACCCTGATGTGGGTGAATCTCATTTTTAAGTTCCTTCCCTCACACAAGCACTTTGCCCCCATTCCAGGCTGCTGAGTCTTACCAAATGAGCACTCTAAAATGAGAGGTTTCCTTGAGTCTGTAACCAAACACTCTGACATTTCTCTGTGGTCCCAAGTGCCAGTCACTCAGTCTCATCGGCTTCAAGGTTAATGTGTGCATGTGAGTGAGTGGGGATGGGGGAAGGAAATGGGGGAAGGGAGAGGATAGAAAAAGACAAAAGAACCTATTTATTTCCTCCTCTCCCCATTCTAACTCAAGATGGGCAAAGAGAGGTACACTGAATGGGTCCTAACCAAAGTCCAAGGATGGTCTCCTTGGAAAACGAATGCTGAAGACACATGTGAGGTTGATTTATAAACCTTCCCCTCTTCCCCCGTGGAAGAGATCCCTCAACCCTTCTGGAATACCTAAGGCTGCCCTGGAACAAGCTTCAAACACCATCTTGCCTGTGGATTTCCAGTCACAGACTTTTGGAACCACAGGAAGCCCAGATTTGCCATTTCACCTTGACAAGTGGCAATGACTCACTCCAGATGCGGAATGAAACAAACAAACAAAACAATTCCCCTGGGTCCACTGTCAGCCAGGCCCTAGGCTGGGCACTTTCCACTGTAAACCTCTCGGCCTGGCTTGACCAAAAACAAGGCACATACACTCAGGCCCCTGTCCTTATTAAGTCCACTCCTTTCTCAGCTAGCTTTGTCTTCGGAGCCCCACAACTAGTGAGTATGTGGGTTACAGTGGGTGTGGGCAACGCTGCCGCCCTCTAGATGCTGCAGGTGTGGGAGCACTACAGCATCTGGTTTGGTTTTTGGGACCACTCAGCTCTTTCCCATCCATTATTGTGGCTGATAACAATAACAGCCCCCATTTACTCGGAGGCCACTGAGGCTCCAGGGGATGTCTTGCCCAAGATCTCAGAACTAATTCCAAGCAAAGCCCAGGATGAACCCCGTCTCCTAGCTTCGGCCATCCCACCAATGCCAAACGCAAGACTCATTCCACAGAAACTACCAAGAGAGCAGAGCTGTCAAGGAGAAACTGACATCTGCAAGGGCCCAGACGTGGGCTCTCCCCACCCCAGCCAGCCCCAGTCGCGGAAACCACCAAGTGAGAGCTAAACATGGTCTTTTTCAGCCCACACACTTTCCCTTTGGCGCTTTCCCTGTGTATTTTCAATGAGGCACCTTGAGAAGGCAGATCCTTTAAAGAGTTTGAAGAAGAAAAAAAGAGGGAACTCCTCCTCCAAAAAGTCAAAGAGAAAGAAGACAGCATAAAGGAGAGGGAGAGAGACAAGAGGTGAGGAGAGCAAAGCCATCCAATATGAAAGACCCCAGCCTTTCCCTCCCGCCTCCAGAGGCAGCCCCCGTCTCTTGCTCACACACAAGGGCACAAAATCGAGCCGTGCGGCCAGGGCAAGCCCGCGCAGATCCGCAGATTCGCCCACCCCCATCACACCGTACCTGTCTGCCAGGGACCGCCCACCCCCGGGCGTGCTGCCCGCACCGCGGCCCGTCCACCTCGAAGACCCCGCAGGCGCGGCGGACGCCCGGCGGTACCCCGGTGGCAGCCCTTAATTTGGTTACATTCAAAAAAAACTTTTCGTGCACCTCGGTAACGAACATTATGTGTGCCTTTTTTCTTTCTCTTTTTTTTTCCTGTTACGCCGTCAAGGCAGGGGGCAGTGAGGGGAATGGCACAACCCTCTCATTCCCGGAACGTAGTCGATCTCAACTCAGCGGATTTCAAAGAACACTCTCTGCCTATCGCCGGCTCCAACGAGAAGTAACTTTCCAGGAAGCTGCCGGCCCGGACGGCCGCCAGGATCGCAGCCTGCGCCGCGCGGGCCGCCGGGGATTCACCCGGCGAGGTTGCAGGAGGGGGTGGGCGCCCGGGGAGGAGGCTCGCGAGGAATACGGCACACTTTCCCCTAAATACCTCGTCCGCTCCCGGTCCAGAACTCCTACTGTTCACCTAGTTCAACCCTTTCCCCATAACAGTTTTATAAATAGGGAAAGTCAGGCACAGCTGGTCTAGAACCCAGGATTTCGAGTCCAATCCCAGGCTTATTTCATGACTTCAAGTTGCCGAATTCCGGTGTTTGTTTGCCTGGTGTGTCTTTTTTTATCTTTCTTTCTCTCATTTTGCTTGCCCCCCCCCGCCCCTCCCCCTGTTTTAAAGGGAGTGGTTAGGCGAGGCCTCAAGGTAAAAAAGATGGAGTCCCGAGGACTGAGGGTCTCCATCCAGCGCTCCCCAGCCGAGTTGGAGGAAAACTAAACAGAAAGCCCCTTCCGCCTACGTTGGCAAGAAGGCGAACCCAGCTCGGCTCGGTTTCCGCCTAAGATCTTTAGAATAGGAGCTGTCAGGCCGAACCGGGCCAGATTTCGGAATTTCCGAATCCGATTTCTCCGAAACCATAGAGAAAAGGTTGGGATTCGGCAGGGCCCTGGGCGCAAACCCTATCGCGTTCATGGGCGCGCTCCAAGGTTGCCTCGCCTTCCCGTGGCCTTTCTCGGAATTACAATCCCTGGGCGCCATCGCCTAATCGGTCTCAGTATCGGGCTCCGAGGGGCACTTTTGGGGGCCGGGAGGTGGGGAGTAGGGGGCGCGAAAGATGCAACCTGTAAGGCCGCAGTCCACTCCTAAAACTGGCGGGTAGCGTCACAGTGCGCCGCGCATCACATCAGCAGCGGAGGCGGGGTCAGTAAAGACTGGGCCTCTCTGGCTTCATAAAATCCCACTTTCTCATCCCTTCGCCCGATGGGATAAAGGTGAAAGCGAAGGCTGGAATTTAATATGGGATGGGATAAGAATCTAGGAAGGGAAGCTAAAATTAAGTAAATGCATTTATTGGAAATTAGGAGGCCAGTGGTTCCGGGACTAGCTCAAACCTAATCATGTTTTACCGCTGCCTAACACTAGAGGGAGCTCTCCATCAAGGCTTAAAACCGACAACTCCTTGTCGCCCCGCCCCTCCTTCCCATTGACCTAGTTTAGACACAGTCTCCCGATTTGGAGAATGCCTTCCGCCCTTCCCCCTTCAATATCCCGTTCGGGTTTTGGATTATTGGTCATCTAATAACTCCAATAACTCGTTGAGAAATCCAAAGGAGAATTTGGAAGTGCGGAGCACTCTTTAGGGGCAGGGACGGGGGATCTTAATAAGGTTGGAGCTGCCTCAGTGGAACCAGCATCAGGGCTCCTTTCGGAGCGCTCCATTTCTCCGCAGCGCCTCAGCTAATGAGCTGCTCGGGTCTAGCCATGGTGATCTGGAGGTGGCGGGGTAGGGTCAAACCGCCGAGTTGTTTTTGTTTTGGGGGAGAAACACTCCTCGCGCTCTTGGCTGGGGGGCGGGAGGGTAGGAAGACAGTAGATGAAAGTGAATTTGATAACGCGGTGGCCTCGGCAGTCGCTTTGGGTGACCGAGGAGGTGTTCAGGGACATTATGTCCTGACTTTCATTTCTATCACACTTCCTGCCAACAGCGCTCTTGCAAGCCTGCAAGCTTCTAGGAAATGCAATAAAATAGAGGGATGTGTTTTATCATCAAGATCTGAAGAGGAGCTGCAGAAAGGACGCTCCCCAGGCGCCCAGCTCGTGACAGCCTTCCAGAAAGGGCCGGCAGTCGATGCCAGCCGACCACGAGCAAAGATATTTTGGCCATCCTGGCTGGACCGGGCTCGGCCTTTGCAAAAAGTCTGGCGGGAGAGGGGAGAGGCATGATCTCCCCAGGCAAACAATGCCTTTAAAAATCCGATCTGGACAGAAGTCAGCCAAGGTCTTTATTCACGTTAATGAAGATGGAAGGCACTAACTGTCCTTGGAAAGCGATGAGTCAAACTTGACCGCTCTTCAAACCCGTCCCCAGATTCGTTTCCAACCCGAACAGAGGCGCGTTTCTCCGACGCGGCCTCCTACAGCTCCCGCAGCGGGAGAGGCGGAACTCGATTCCGGCGGACCAGGGCGGTGGAAACAACGGCTTCTCCCGCGGGTGTGCGCGTCTGCGGTCGCTAGGGGCCGCCAGCACTCGGTCGCGCGTTTGCCATCTTAAATTTTGAGCTCCGAGAAAGAAAACTTTGCCGCGAAGCTGTTGTGGATTTCACTCTGCCTGTCCATAGGACCCACACACACACAACTGATTTCTCGCCAAGCCACTAAACAAAGTTTGGAAAGAAGGGGAAGAGAGCTATTTCAGGATCCAAATGTGAGCCTCGGGAGCAGCGAGGTGCATCTCTGCAACTCTAGGGACTGGGCTTTAATCACGCCCTAACACACGCACAGCCCCCTCCCAAGAACTGAGACTCCCACCCCTGAGCACTACCGTAGGCTTTTCATGTCTGTGACTGAAAATCTTGGGCCATGCTTTCTAAACAAATTCCTCGGAGACAGCTGGGGAACCCTTTCCAGCCTTTTAACCTAAGAGGTTAAAATCATGGCTCCCTCTGACTTCTGCTCCTTTCTCTTAGATAACTCAAAGGGGCGGAGATAAACTCGCCTTTGACTTTAAGTCACTGACCTGGAATTCAGAAGCTTAAAATCTGGTTCCGGTTAGGTCACTAACTCGCCATTAACCCTCTCATCAGGCCTGTTTCCTCAACTGTAAAGCGATATATGTCCTAGAGCCCCTGTGGCATCCCTCCACTATTGACTTTTCCGGGGGAGAGGCCACAGAGACTGGAAAATCGTGTTTTCAGAATCCGGTACTTTTCGGTTCTCTTAGCGGAGACAGATGCCCGTCGCTGAGTGGCTGTGGATGGAGCAAGCATCCGCAGGCTTTCTAATTTTCATCCATCGTACCAAAACTTTGGAGGTTGGGTGTCATCCTCATTGGAGGGTACCCTCCCCTCTGTCAGTCCTAGCACCTGGTTGGGATACTTGGGGACCCGTAGGTGACGCGGTCGGTCCACTGCCCTAGGCGGGGAACTCAGCCAGGACCCACCACTAGGTGGCGGACTCAGTCCGTGCGAAAATCGCCGCGCGACCACAGCCTTCCACACCCGACTGCCCCCCACCTTTTTGCTGTTGTTGTCTCTTAAGGGAAGGGGGGGGTGCCTCCATAGGGCAAAGCTGGAAAACACTGAATTTACTAGATGTAATTCCTTCTTCCCGATGCTCAGGCCTCTAGCAACCAAAACGCGGTATCTGGAGCTGCGTTCATGTAGTATACCTTGATTCTTCCAGCCCGAAAGGCTGAATGTATTGGGAAGAGAAAGAAAGGGTACACATGTCTTCAAAAAGCAGAAGGCAGTCGATGGCATTACCAGAGCTTTCTGCCAAACACTGGTCGACCAGCAAAACAGTCGGGGATAAACTGATTCCCACGTAGAAAAGGGGTCCTGGAGGCCAAGGGCAGGCTTAACAGCGCTCGGCTAAGCCGGGGATGGGGGAGTGGGGACGAGTTGGTCTTTTGGTGGGGCTCTCGTCTCAGAGTGGGAGGCGGGGAGGGTTGGGAAGGGCCGTTCCTGGCTTCCAGTGGGGCGAAGAGAAACCGGCCAGCTTTCCCACAACACAGCACCCTCGCTCGGATCACTGCGGTGGCTTTCCCACTTGTTGCGCAGTGCAGGCAACTGGCACGCGCCACACTACTTTGACTCCCGGAGGACTCCAAACCCGGCTACGGATCAGCCTACCATTGCCCCAGTCCATCCACAAACCTCCCTCCCCGACCCACCCCCGCATACACCATCTTCAACCGCCAGCAAAACTACAGGACTTCCAGTCGCTATGGTTTTTTACACCAAAACATTCCTCCTTGTTTCAATATCAGACAGACAGCAGAATTCGGGTGCCCTGAGAGGTCAAGTCCAAGAGGGAAGGGGGGCTACCTCCGCCAGGAGAACTCCTCTACTTAAAGCCAACCAGGCAAGCCTCCCCGAGAGCGCGCGCGCGCGCGCGCGCACACACACACACACACACACACACACACACACTCGAACTACTTCGCCTATTATGATACCATCCTAGCTTTTCTCCCTCCTTTTGAGAGATCAACTACAAAGTCCTTGTTTAAAAAGCTACTTTTATCTCCCCTTCCTAAAGAAAAAAAAAATCCTCAAAAGGTCATTTCACAACATTTTTCAAATATTTGACTTTTGCAAATAGATAGTTTCACCCACCGAGGGGTGGCGCTGCCGCACCACCTCCTCTGAATCGCTAAATTTTTCACAACAAAGTGGGTTGTGAGTGTGGCTACCCGGCAAAGGAGAGAGGGAAGGAAGAATTTTGACATCTAGCCATGGCTACCATTTACTCAACCAATAACTGGAACTCTTTAAGGCTCAGCAAACGACAGCTTAAGAGTCTGGAGTCCCATTCCTGTCAACCAAACACACAATAAAAATGGGACAGGCTTTTCAAGAAAGCAAGGGGTAGAACCCTTCAAAACTGAGCATAGAGGAAATGGCCAATTGGAGAATTCCCACTTTTAGCTGCCTTCTTCAAGTTGCCCGGTTTTTACAAACAGCTACTAGCCTTATTGTCACTATCAACAGACCCTTAAAACCAGTCAGTGCTTGGGCCTGCAGTATTGGAAATCTTCCAAATAGGATATTGGAACCTTCTATTTATAAGTGGGGGGAGGGAGGACTATTTCCCATCTTCAGGTTTCTATTTTGGCCTGAAGACTCAACTACAGTCATTTTAGCAAGGGAATGCCCATCTCCTGGTACTCCCTTTCCATTTCCTCCTCCCCCAGAGACAAATATCTTTTCTCCTTTTAAAAGAAAACACACATATATTTTAAAGCAAGAATGTGATTTCACCTCGTTCCTCTGAGCTCATGTTTGCTACCTCCAGGAATAGCGGGTGGACTAGGGCCAGATGAACTTCAACTTGGGTTGCAGATTTACGAGGCTCTGTTCCAGTGCCAAAGGCTCTTAGTAGTAAATAATGAGCAAAATAGATACCTGTCTCCTGACAGATCCTGCGGGCCCCCCTCTTACTTTTTTTTTTAAAGTTATTTATCAAAACCACACACACCTTGCAAAGAAAAAGGGAAACTGGCAGTCTCTGTAGAGGAAGCCAGTGGCATCGCTCAGAGCCACAAACTGTATTTCTAAACAGCCCTTTCCCTGGTTCCTTCTCTCCTGCCCCACTTTTTTTCTTTTTACTTTTTTTTTTAAGTAAAAAAATGCATCTACTGACATTTTACTTAAAAAAAAAAAGAAAAAGACTAAAGCATTACAAGATTTACCTCCTGGAAACTATAAACTGAACACAAAATCCATAAAGGATTAAATCAGTTTCCTGGGGTGGGGGGATGACCAGCTCACAGAAGAGGTCAGGGACCCAGTAACAGCTCTGGACTTTGAGCACCCACTTTGGGGTCATTCCTTCGGCTCAGCTGTCAGGACCCCCACCACCAAGTCAAACATTTCGAGAAAGTGCACAACATAAAAAGGGTCTTTTTCATGCTTTTTTTTTTAATTTGTAGGTTTGTGTACTTGTTTTCCATAGGATAGCTTTTAAAACTCATTATTGCCACACTAGTTCCATTTTTGGCCAGAGTTCCAAGATAATACGGCATCATAAAGGCAACGCAATCCACAGTTCTCAAGACGTTTACCACGGTCACTGCATCCGGCAGCGGGGTGGCCCCTCGCTCCCGCTGCTCCCCAGCGCAGCCGATTTCCGAGGCTCCAACTCCCCACCCACTCCCTCCCCGGGCCGCCGCCGCCGCCGCCTTCCCGCATTCTTACTCCCTCAAGGAGAGCCACAGGTTGCAAATCCAACCAACCTCGCAATCCGTTTTTGCAAAATCACTCACAAAGATCTCCCGTTCGCGCCCGCGCCCCCTTCTCCCGCGCCAGATCCCCCAGCCGGGGCCACAAAGTGCCCTTCTCTCCTCCCGGGTCTCGCACGTAGGACCGCGGGCTGGGGCTGTTTGTTTTTCCCCTCGCCCAGCGCAACGACCTCGGGAATCTGAAGCCTTGACGCCGGCTACCCTCCGGCCCGCAGTTCTTGTTTGTTGGTTTGTTTTTACAAAGCCTGCACCATGGGAAAAATAAAATTTAGGAAAGCGGGGGAACAGCCATTGGGAGCTAACACCGAGTCACGAAGCGCCCAAAATACAAACACCGTGACCGCCAGAAATCCCGCCACCTTCCCGCTTGGCTGGGCCGTCCTGCGAAGGTTCCCGGAGTCCCCGCACGCTGAACAGCACCGCAGGTGCAAACGCGCACCCCTTTCCCACCCACCCCCCAAATCCCCGTCCCGCCACAAGCTTCCCTCCCCACGATGGGGTGAGGGAGCGCGCGGGGCTTCCCGACTCTCTAGACTGCAACCAAGAAAGAATAATTTTCAAAGTATTCAACATCCCCGCCCCCAGGCAAGCTAAACCTCCCCCAAAACGCAGGGGAAGGGGACACCAAAACACTCGAATCTCGTTAGGAAGACCACGGCTCTGAAAAGAAAGAGGAGAACCCCATACTTCAACTGGGTTTATGAAAAACAAAAAATAAAAACAAAACGAGGAGTTCGCTTGCATTTTTCCTCCCAAATCTCGGCTCGGAGGTAGGGAATCTAGAGGACCAAGGCCGGTGGAAGGGAGCCAGCGGGGCGAGCGAGCGGGCAGCCTCCCTCCTCGCCTCCCGGAGTGACCAAGAAGGACGTGAGAGGGGAAGGAAGGAGAGGCGAGGGAAAGGAGGAGGGAGGGAGGGAAGACGAGGCTGGAGCGAGGGAGCAAGGAAGGCAGTTTGCAAGCGAGAAAAGAGGGAAAAAACACAGCCGCACGAATCCAGCGAGATCACAAGCCGTACGCAAGCAGCAGCAGAAAGAGCGAGAGCGCTAGCGCGCGTCCTCTCCGCCGTCTGGGGCCAGACAGCCCCCAGACTTGCCCGAATCACCACCCCCCCAAGCACTGTCTCGTCCTTTCTGCTCCGGCCGCCCCCTAATTCCCCTCCTTCCTCTCCTCCACCTCCTTTTCAAAAACCAAAACAACACAAGGGAGGGTGGCAAAAGCCTCCCCAAACCGGCCAATTCACTCAAAGACAACAAGAATAAAATAGTAAATATATAAAAATCTATATCCTAGAGTGGGAGAGACGTGGGACTAATCTTCGGCATTTATTTTAACACCTGACAGCTACAATAAATAAATATATACATTTACATCAATAGATACACATAGGAAACTTGTAGCCAAAGCATTTGGCAAGAGCGGAAAAAAAAAGAATTAAAAGGTAAAATAATGATCATGAGCAGCGGCGGCGGCAGCGGCACCAGCGGCAACAGCGGCGGCGGCGGCGGCAGCAGCAGCAGCAGCGGCGGCAGCAACAGCAATAATCACCTGGTGTCCGGCCTTTCCTAGAAACTTCTTGCATCACCACTTCTAAGAACCCCAGTTCTAAGAATCAACAGAGCTCAATTCTCGGAATTTGAGCTGCGGGCCTTACCACTGCTACGTGGCAGGGGAGGACTCGGTGTCAGCTCTCCGCGACTTTTGCCTGCTTTGGCCCATAAAAAGCCCTCAAAGCCACAATATTTTCCCACTGTCCGGCATATTTCGGGTTCCTCACAGGCTGGGCGTCTCGGGTTTGGAGGTTTCGGTGTGAGGCTCGAGGGGCCAGACGGTGGCTCTCCCTCCCCGGCCCCCGGACGATGGTACAGCCTGCTCCGCCACCGTCACGTGGGCGCCCCCTCTGTGACGTCGGCGTCTTTGCTGTAGCAAAGCTCGGCCTCTGGAATTCTGAGAACTAATTTGCTATTCGGTGACATAAGAGGGGGAGTGCGCTTTGCTTTCCCGGGGTCTGGGGCTAATTCCTCCTCTCTTCCCCGTAAACTCAGCTCCTCGAGCTCAACACACAAAAGGGAGCGAGAGGTTCGAACCTTTGGGAAAAGTCTGTTATATATAGTAGGTTTCGAGGCGAGTAAGAGAAAAAAACAATAAACACCACAGCTCTTTCCAGCTAGAATATTAGGCACCACGAGAAAAATATTTGCCAAGCAGTTTTCGGTGGGTTCATTTGCTTTATTTTTATTTGGGACAGTTTTGTTTTTTGTTTTTTGTTTTTTGTTTTCCTTGTTGGTGTGGTGGCTCGGGATTTGGGGTTATTGTATTTTGATGGGTTTCGGATTTTTGCTTCTGATTTTTGCCTTTTGCAACTTTGTGATGTTACGTAAATCATAGGATCCCGCATCGGTTGGATTTTGTTTTGAGTGTTTTTGCCCCAATCTCATCTCTCAAGCGCTTTAAGGAAGATGTGTTATTTTTTAATACTGATACTATTGAAAGAAGCTTGAATTTTTTGTCGTATATGTTACATCCCAACCCCCATTTTTTGGGGGGTGGGGAGGGTGCAATTTTCTTTCTCCCCATGGACTTTTACTGAGAGGACGCTCCCCTGCACTTGAGAGACATGTTCAAAGGATTTGTTTTGGTTTGTTTCTTTCCAGGACAGCAAGTGGTGGGTTTACTCTTTCTGTTATTGTTGACTCTTAGGAAATTTCTTGCTGCGAGAAACGTGTGTGTATGTGGGTGTGTGTATGCGTGTGTTCTACAAAATTCCGTGAGCCAGATACATGTTTGTGTTTTGCTTTTTCTTAAGGTCTTGATTCCGCCCCCCCCTCCCCCCGGCCCAGCTCGCTTCAAGGTCGTTGTAAAAAATCTCTCCTGTCTGTGTTTAAAGAGATCAGCCGGAGGGAATTCTAAAGGCCTACCGTGCCAGTATCACAGATACTGCGTGTGTTTAGAACAGACTGTGCTACAACTACAACGCACTGCACGCAGCACAGTCCTCTTAGCTTTAGAGCTGAGTTTCGAGGAGGAGGAGGAGGAAAAGGGGGAAATCTTTCTTCCTTACTTCCTTTCTTTTTAAAGGCAAATGCAGTGCAGAATCATTCCACTGTGGGCCTTGGTTTGTTTATTCAGAACTGCCAGTTTCCCTATTTAAATATTGGTTGGGGTTTTTTTCCCCTCCTACTCATCCCTGAATGAGGGAGACTCTTGTTTCTTTTATGTCTCTCTCATAAAAGAACGGTGTGAGGGGAAAATAATATTTCAGATTCCTCAAGTATTAACCCCAAATGTTTGGACCAGAAGCAGCTTTCAAAGGTCAGGCTGTTCTGAGCCTTGGCTATGATAGTCCTTCAGGCAACTCATTAAATTACAGACGAGTTCTTAAAGGTTCCGCAAAATTTCTGCACATGTTAATTTCCAATAAAGATATCTCCCAAAATAATCTACCTCTCCCAGCCCCAATTTGGGTTTATAGAACTGAGCAGAGCTATGAAAGACTGCTGGCTGTTTCCTGGGATGTTTGGGATCTCTTTCCCAGAATGCCATAAGAAGTTCAGATCTATCGCTGAAAATGTTGTTGTCAATGCAGCCCCCTTTTGGAAAAGGCTGTGTTGGGGTTTTTAAAACCAGGAGAGATCCAAAGGGGTCGACTATTTTCACAAGGGCTGGAGCTTAGGAAATATGCATAAGTGTCTGTCCCTGTGAAATCTGAATATTTTAATACTTATTGACAGATGAATTACTGCAGTCTCTGCAGAAAAGCCTGTCTTGTGAAGGATTTTTGAAAAATATACACAGGCCTAATGCTGTCACTCTTGTCAAAATGAACATTTTACCCCCAAAGACACATGATATCATCCAGTGCAGATCCATTTGGCCGGAAGGGAGACTATCTGTTTTTCTGATTGTCCCCTTCCCCCTCATTTTCAAAGCGTTTTAAAGGAATCCCACTGGATTCAAAATGACACCCCGATTTTGCTGAAGTGATGGTCTTTGTGTATTTGTATGGGTGATAATTTTTCTATCTTTTATGAGTAATAAGAACTTTAGGGTTTCTCAGGTGTCTGTATGGTTTGGAATGTGAATTGTATGGCTCTGCCCTATTACTGATCCTACAATGAGGTTACTTTTGTGATTTGGGGTCACTTTCCTTGTCAAAGTTGCCATCCTGCCTCATTGGCTCCCCCCTCCCCCTTAAATACATAGCTTGCCCCTCCCTCGTTCTCTTTGCCACTCCAATCTTAGCCCCATGGGGGCGCTGCAGAGCAAAGGGAAATCTCCCTCAGACAGCAGAACAAACCAGAGCGGGGGCTGGGAATGAATTCACCCTTCTTTAATTCTCTGCGGGGAGCCCTTGGAGGAAGACCCCACCAGGCCTGGTTTGTAGATAATTAATCCTACCGCCAGGGACCGCAAACCTTCTCAGGACGTTATTTCTGGGACCCAGTGCCAGGGTCCCACATTTCTACTTTTTTTTTTTTTTTTTTCCAAATTGAAGTGTTTACACCGAAAGAAATTAACCAGAACAGGAGACGGTTAAATGAAAAAAAAAAAAATTATTGAAGCTATTTTAAAGATGAAGATTTAGGTAGGTCCCCTTTTCTCTACGGAATGAATGGTGAGGAAAATCGTGTACCCACCCCTCAATCTCTTTTCAATTCCTAGGAAAGTAACTTTATCAAATTTTATACCAGTTGAATTTCTTCCAGAATGCCTTCTCTCATTCTTGATCTCTCCCCAGTAGTAACCAGTTGGCGTCACTTTGTGGACCTCCCTCATTCCAGCAGTGCTAGGATTAAAGAAAGGATTGACTTGAATATATTCAAATTCTTTTAAATCATCCTTAAGAAGCTCTAAAGAGAGATTCCATGTCTGGGGTCTTATGTGTGATTCCTGTGGGCTTGGAGGGGCTGTGTATCAACCAGTCCTATGAGTTAATGGTTTCTGGCTATTAATACTCAGAGTAGAGGACCAGGCCAGCCCCTTTGCCTGGAGTTCCGGGCATAGTAATAGGTTACTAATCACAGGTTCTGGGTAAATAAAAGCTTTGTTACAAAATAAAATAGCTTGGTCTTAATATTACATCTATTTAAGGAAAGGAACAGATTTTGCCTCCAGTTCCCCCCAGAGAATCTTCCCCACAATTCAATCATAGCTGAAAAGGAAACTAGCCTTGGAATAAGCCCTGTCCTGTCCTCTTTCTAAGGGGACTCCAAACAGGAAATTGGTTTCACCTGTCAGGAACTTCTGGCACCTTGGTAGATCTTTAAACTATCACATCGCAGAATTACAGATTTTAGAACCGGAAGGAACCGTGAAGATAACCACTCAAGGCTTCTTTCTTTCAGGAGGACAGGATAGCCATCACTGGAGGCGTGTGGGACCCCAGGACACAACTGAAAACGGGTCTTCGTGGTTTGATGGTCCTGTGTTAGAAAATCAGGATGATCTGACTACCTGGGTCTGGAGACGGGCATCTTGTTTTCTGGCAGAATTGAGGAAAGCAAGGCTGCTTTGGGCTGTGTGTAAATTGTAAACTGGTTCTCAGAACAGACTCCAAGTCACAGTGAGTATTGAGTTTTGATTGTCATCTGGGCTTGGTTATGCTTGTCACCTGTGCTATGGTACTCAACAGCTACTTTTGATGGGTATGGGAGATCTTATTTACCCATTAGTTTTATTTCAAATCCTTCACTTAGAGCCATTATAAACAAGCTCCTTACATTATCCTTGGAGAAAGAAAGGTGTTTTCTTGGTATGATTTAGAGAAATTGAGCAGAACGTTTTGAGACATTAAAAAAAAAAAAAAGATGATTTCCAGCCACTACCTTCAGAAAAACAAGTGTCAACATTTAATTTTGATCCATATGCTGCCTGCTTTTGGCCTGTATTACCCTGAGACCTTTTTTTTTTTTTTAGTTTAGAAACCTTTTTGGCCTAGCTCAGAGTTTCCCCCCAAAACACTGATTTTTTTTCCACACTTTTCTCACTTATTTAAAATGGAAATAAATATCCCTGGAGCTTAAAATAGAGAAATGATGGGGGGGGGTGCATAATCATTTGTTTATAGCACTCTATCACTGTTTTGAATAACAGGGTTTTCACTTCCTATGAAACCTTAGCATGAGGGAAAGCAGCAGCTGGACCAGGAAGGGGATGCAGGGAGGAAAGCACTTGAGTGTTTGTAAACTCAGGGTGGCTGGCCCACCGGGCTGCTGTACTTAGCTGTCTTTACTACCTAAGGCTAGAAGTGGAAAAACTTGATTTGCGTGTTGTGCCTGCATTTTTTTTTTTTTTTTTTTTCTCCACACCGCCCTCTGTACACCTGACCATGCCGAAGCCTATCTGAAGCCGGCTTGACGGCAGGGAGAGCTGGAGAGCGGAAGAATGTGCTGAGAAAGGGAGTGCTCGGTACTTTTCCATTCACATCTCCACAGTGGCTTTTCTTGTTTATTTCAACCTCCACCAGCGGAACCCTGTCAGCTGCCTGAAATCCGAGTCATTAAACTGTTCCCTGAGGTCAGACCACAGATGCTTGGTGCATGTTTCCTACATGTCGGTGTCTATGTAACATATGTACATACAGAGACACACGCACAAACGTGTAACTCCGCGGGGGCACAGTGTGAGGTAGGGGGGAAAAAACATAGATTTGTTGCCAGAAAACCTTGGTTTCTAATTACCGTTCTGCCTGGAACTCCTTATGGGACGTGGAGCAAAACCACTTGTCAGGACTCAGTTTCCTCAACTGTGTGAAGGAATAACCCAGATGGTTTGCAGCACGTCTATCTGTTCTAAATTCGATACCTTGTGTCTAAATATATATTTATGTAACTTTAAGGTGGAGGGGGGGATGGAAAGGAGCTGAGTGAATGTGTCCCTGGGGTGGGAAAAAGAGTTAAAATGTAAACTTCTAAGTAAAGAAGGCAGTCCCAGAATCTTCACCTCTATCAATTTTTAACCAGTTGTAGACCAAAGTCTGGGATTCTGCTGAGTAGGTCCAAAAGCCAAATGAAGATTTTAAATGTTAAGAGTTGGAAGGGGCCGATTCTAAGACCTTGTACCTTTGATCTCCTGCATTCATAATCGGATGTGACAGTTCCCAAGTGTCTTTTCTGCACTAGAGTTCTTTTTTTTTTTTTTTCCTTCTTCTGTTTTTGGAAACAGTCCCAGTCAGTGATAGGAAGGAGATGACACTTGTAAACTGGGCACACCTTAAGCTGCTGGGCCCCATGTGGATGTAAAAAGATATGACATAATATTCATATACATACACACACACAAAAGAAGGAGAAAAAAAAAGAAAAAACTAGATAGAGATTCCTGGTAAGAAACTTAGAGGTAGTTCAGCCATCACTGCATTAAAGGTAATTATTTGACGTCAGAGGAAATAACAGATGAGGAGTTTGCCCTTACCAAAAAAAAAAAAAAAAGCCTTACTCTACCAGAACAAACTTGAAGGTAACTCTCCACCAATATTTCCTATGCTTCTTTTATCTCCATTCTCTAAAAAGAAAGGTCTAATGTTTCTCAGGCCTGATTGCCTAGCAAAGCCTTTAACGGACCTCAGCATCTGCAGGACATAATTTAAAGTGTAGCTCCTATTTATTAACAGTGACCTCCCCACCACCACCATCCCTCCTCTTAGACCTTCTGGAATATTGATGCCCATGTACAAGGAGAGATGGAGCCAATTACATTCTCTCAATGAAATACTATTGAGAGTTACAATATGCTAGCACTGGGAAGGTCCTTAGCAATTGTCCAATTCCACACGACTGAATTTATATCATTGGAAATTGAGGCCCACACAGAATGTATTTGCCACACACACTGGATCAGACTGAGCCAGGTCCAGAATTTTGATGTCCTGGTTCTAAATCCACTATGTTTTTCCATGGTTTATCATGAAAAGAGGACATGGGGTGGGCAGCCCTGCAAAAGAGCCATTTGCTGTGTCCTTACGTTCAGAGAAGGCCTCACATTTAGACTTTTGACATCATCTCCACTGAGGTTCTACATCAGTCTCAGCAGTACACAGACAGGATGGTAAAGGAGCAGACCCTCATCCACAAGTTCTCTGTGTGTGTCCCAGGGTAGGACCCAGTGTCGGAGCCACCACAGGCTCCTACGGTACTGTGATTTAATACTGTTAATAAACCTATAATTATCTTATGAACAGTACAATTGCATTGTAATTGTGTGTATGCTGGTGTTGAAAATGTAAAATTTAATATATTTTTGGCCTAGAAACAATGATGCTACACTAGCAAAGAGCCCACCTGGTACCAGATCTTGATTTCTGATACTTCTGTGCAGTAATGGAAAACAAGGCTCCTTGGAGAAACGTCTGGTTCTAGATCTAGGACTGGGGCAAGAAGTATTCAAAATTAGAATGGAACATCTTATAGCATCATAAATAAAGAATTGCTGAAAAACAAACAAAAACTACATCGATGGGGCATATTTCAAAGAGACACTGGAGCCACTTGAAGAGCTCCCAATGGGCAAAGCTGGAAGATTTGGAGTAAAAAAAAGAAATCAAGTAATATTAGATTATAATCCAAAGTATAAAAGAAATATCCATGAATCCACACTGATATAAATTATTAAATAAATTAATAAATCAGAGAAAAGAGACAAATCTCCCTTGCAGAAAAATTCCAAATAATTTATGTAGATACACTGCCGACAAGGATGGGGGCAGGGGGCAGTGTATAACTCCTCACTCCTCAAGTGTGAGCTTTGCACAGTGACTTCCTTCCAAAGAGTACAGTATGGGAAGGGAGGAAAGGAGGGAGGGAATCATTTTACGTGGAGAAACCTGACAAACACTACACCAGCCAATTCACCAAGGTGAACATCAGCAATTATAAGCCATGTTGATTGTTATGTACCTTTGATCTGAGGAGATGAAAATGGCTTTTTACCTCTGTGGTCTTCCTCCCATACCCCAGTCTATTTATGAGAAAAGTCTCAGACAAATTTCAACAGAAAGGCATCCTACAAGAGACGTCACCAGTATTCCACAGAACTATCAAGGAAAGTCTGAGAAATTGCAGCAGCTGGGAGTAACCTCAGAAGATATGACAACTTAATGTAATGTAGTATCCTGGATGGGATCGTGAAACAGAAAAAGATAAGGTAAACCCAGACAAATCTGAATAAATGAGGAGCTTTAGTTAATAATATTGTATCAGTGTTGTTCCATTAGTTGTTACAAATGTACCATAGTAATATAAAATGTTAATAATAATGGGAAACTGGGTATAGGGTTTTTCTCTGCGCTATCTTCTCAATTTTGCTGTTTAAAAAATATTTGGGGAGGGCATATCTTTATTTATTTATTTTTCAATACCAGAAACCTCCAAAAATGAGCTAGGTCTCTTGAAATCTGAGAGATTTTCTTCCCAGTCAACCATGCCCCCCAGATAGAGTCAGGAAAATGAGGGAACCTGCGTTTATTCTTTTAGTTTACTAAATTGAAAGCAATTTAGCTAATTTCTCTATGTCACCATCTGGACACAGAGCTGTGAGGAGAACGCGTAGGAAGCACCAAAGGCCAAGTGTTGCCGTGGTGGTGGATGGCTCAAGGCACCTCATCAATCTGCTTACTCCACATTTCTTTCTGAAAATCCTCCACGGAGACAAGGCCCTGAAAGATCTAGCCATCAGTCCATAGTAGACATATAATACTTAGGGATTCATCACTGAGGTTGGGGGAGCCTCAAGACCTTCCTAGAATGTCTGGTATCTCATTGTACAACTCCAAAAGAACTGTGGATCTCATCAGAGTTTAACTCTGGGTCTAGAGAAGAACGCTAACTGGACCCTATAACTCTATGAATTTGTCTTCATTGTCTGAATATGACCCCATTACCTAAACTAGAAAAATCCAGAGAGGGAAATGGTTTGCCAAGACTATCCCACAAATTAGTGGTAGAGTTGCTTCCCATCAACCAGTCCACCCTGAATCATTTATTTTGCTGTAGTATTCCCTTTAGTAAACTAAGGACTGCTATTGCATTGATATACATTATTTCAGAAGTGCCTCATTCATTTCTAACCACCTGTCAGTTACCAGTGGTGTCCAGTTCCAATGTGAGCTTAAGTGTCTCTTCCTTCTTTCCCTTCACCTTTTCCCACTTGCATCAGCCTCTCTGCCAAGTGGTTATAGATCTTTGAACCAACACTGATATTCACTATGGAGGCTGACATCTAAATTCTTCTTGGTGAAATGAGGTAAGACTGAATGCTATCATAGTCCAATTTGGTTATCATTACTGTCAGCAATCTGTTTGGTTACATGTCTCAAGAATCATAAATGTAGTCATGCCCTGTGACCCAGTAATTCCACTTCTAGGAATCTATCTTCAAGGCATAATTCAACATATAGGGGAAAAAATCTTTGAATGAATATATGCATTCAAGCATTATAACTAGCAACAAAAAAGTTGAACAACCTACATGTTCCATCATGACTGGGTTGGAGGGAAGGGTATTGGATGGAGAATGGTTAAATATAATACAACTAATTTTTAAAAATTAGAATTGGAAAACACTTATGGTAACAGGTAAAGTGAAAAGCAGTATATATATATGTATGTAGTGTATTTATAACTATACATATGTATGTAGTATATTTATTTACTATACATAAAAAATAAACTGGATATAAACAAAAGTACACAATTAACAAAAAACTATTTACATGGGCTGTCTTAGGGTAGTAGGATTATGGATGCTTTTTTCTCCTTTTATTCTTTTCTTTATCTTCCAAACTGTGTAATGTTTATATATTAGTTTGATTTCCATCTATCTCACAAGCACACACTCAAGACACTGAAAAGCCCTAAGTGAAATCTTTTCAACGCAAGAAATTAGTCCTCTAATTCACAGTTTTGAATGTTTGACCTAAAGTTGAAGCCTCCCACATCTTTAGGGCCTAGAGCAAAAGTGAGAACTGCCCACTCATTCTTGGAGAAGACCTTTCACTCTGGGAGACACTTGTCTCCACACCAACAAAACCTCACCCTTTCTGAGCAGGTTGACCATAATGAGATTAAATAGATCCTGTAAATCTTTGATCTGTCTCTGCCTGCTGGGTCTCAGTGTACTTATCTTGTTTGTTGGTTATTTCACAGCTTTTGAAAATGTTAAAAGAGTTTCCTGGGGCTTCCCTGGTGGCACAATGTTTAAGAATCCTCCTGCCAGTGCAGGAGACACCGTTTCGAGCCCTGGTCCTGGAAAATCCCACATGCCACGGAGCAACTAGGCCCATGTGCCACAACTACTGAAGGCCGTGTGCCACAACTACTGAAGCCCGTGCGCCTAGAGCCCATGCTCCACAGCAAGAGAAGCCACCGCAATGAGAAGCCTGCGCACCACAACGAAGAGTAGCCCCTGCTCGCCGCAACTAGAGAAAGCCCGCGCACAGCAACAAAGACCCAACACAGCCAAAAATTTTTTAAATTAATTTAAAAAAAAAAAGGGTTTCTTGGTTACTTTACTGTCTCCATGAGGCCACCCAGGAGATCTCCTGGTAAAAAGACATTCTTTGAGATGCTTCTGGGGCTACAGGAGATTTGGTTTTCTTTTTTTTTTTTTTTTTGCGGTACGCAGGCCTCTCACTGTTGTGGCCTCTCCCGTTGCGGAGCACAGGCTCCGGACGCGCAGGCTCAGTGGCCATGGCTCACGGGCCCAGCCGCTCCGCGGCATGTGGGATCTTCCCGGACCAGGGCACGAACCCGTGTCCCCTGCATTGACAGGCGGACTCTCAACCACTGCGCCACCAGGGAAGCCCGGTTTTCATTCTTATAACATGTTTGACTAGTGAATTCTGAGGAAAACAATTTAAAAATAAGCCCTATCAATGTTGTTTCCTTTAGAGAATCACAAGCTTGTTAGGAACTGGGAGTAGGTGGTTACCATTGTTTGAATCGCTGGTTCTTAGAAAAGGGCATGGGGGTAGACATCAGGATCTCGGAGGTGAGGTAAGGACCATGGTTCTGTTAAGCCCTCTTCCCTTAAACCACTGATCTAATTCCTCATACTCAGCTCATTCATTCACTCATTCGCACAACACACAGTTCATTGGCAGTCTTTTGTGGGTTAGACCCTATTTTCCCTGGATACTGGGGAAATGAATAGAAATACAACAGGGGATTCTGACCCCAGGGGACACACAGTCTACTGAGAAAAAAAAGGCGGAGAATGGTGCAAAAGCTTGCTTTAAGTCATGCAAACGATGGCCCCCTTGCCAGGCCAAACATCCTGAGTCTGAGCCAAACTCTCTGGCCTCCTCCCAGAGGCTGTGTCCTACCTCCTGCTCCAGCACCAGTGTGAGGCACCGACTCCCTCCCTGGGCAGGTTCAGCCTCTGGGTTTTTCATCCAGTGTTGATTAGAACAGGATATAACCCAGCTGCCTCCATGCACCATCCAGTAATACCCAATACCCAATGCAAAGATAATCCACAAGAGCCTGGAGCATACACAGCCTCACCACCACCATCACCAGGTTGGCTCAGCCTGCAGGCCAGAGCTGGACTGTGATTTTTACAACTTCGAGGGCCTGACAGGTTTGACCGTGAACAGAGAGATCACCCAGCATCATGCTATTCCAAAGCACACAGCCTCAAGTAGCATCCGCAGCCTGGACTCTAGCTCCCAACACCACCTCTGACAGGATCTAGACACCTAATAGATCCTGAAGCTTACTCAACTAAACCCAAGTTTACCCCAACCCTCTGAGCATCCCAGACCTTTGGATAATAAACTAACAGGTGATATAAGCAGATGCCAGCCCTGCACCCAGACCACTTTTCACAGCACCTTATTGCCAAGGCCCAGACTGCCTGAGGGTTGGGCCCATGTGCCAGGAGTTGTAACCATCTCCTTCCTATGGCACATGCATAAAACCACCAGATACAATTTCAGCAATCTTACAATTAGCTGGAAGTCTAGCAGCTTTCAATGTCTCAACATCGAGGTTGCTAAGAAACACCCACCCTTTGGAGGGTGAAATGCCAGCAGAATGCTCAAAAGAAAATGGGACAGAAAAAGATTAATAAAGGCCATAATTTGGGAAGGTATATTGAAAAGACTTGACGATGGTGATGGTGAATCAATAAATCAAGCACCTTAGGCCCTCAAACTTCTTTCCAATCCCGTCTCCTGTAAGTTTTCTACCTCAGACTCTTAGCATTCTCCAAGAACCCAGGCACTTACCTCCACTCCACACCCAGGTGTTGAACGCTGCCTTTGGTAGGCTAGAAGCTCCTCAAAGACAAGAGAACTTCATTTTTGTTGTATTGGACTTGCATCCAAAACATGGTGCTCACTTAGGAAATGTCGACTGAATTCAAGTAGGTAGAACTGAAAGAGAATTCAGGGTGAAATCTGATGATCTGGGTTCCAGTTAAAGCTCCACAACTGACTAACTTCTGTGAGTCTCAGTTTCTTGTTCTCTAAAATGGTCATTTCTGTACAGGGACTACATCACAGGATTCCCATGAGAATCAAGTACCATAGAGGGGAAAGTACTTTGGAAATTATAATGCACAGTTCAGAGTGGTCGTTGAATGTGGAGCAAATGGACAAACTAATGAGTGAATCATCACAGAGAAGCAAAGCCATCAGGTTATTCCATAACTGATTTTGTGACTCACGTTTTATCTGGGGAACAATGTATTTGAAGTGTCCTGCCTTGACTCTGTAACCATCCTTAAAAAATGGTTATTTCACTTCCCGAAATATTTTAACCCTTTCAGTACAGGAAGACATAAATTACTGGGGAGGATTCATACTCATCCAAAGAGAATAAAAAAGATCAGAAAGTCTTTATGTCCTTGAAATGCAGAATTGGAAATGAACCATCTCCCAGTAGTGGGAACTGAAATCCACTATTAGATCCTCCTTTTTGGTACCTTCTTCCTCTTCCTCCTCTTTCTACCTTAGCCCCTCCCTACCCATCCCCTTCACCCAGCTGGAAAAAAATCATTTGTTTTGAGCCAACTTTAGTCTTAGAAAAAGGTATAAACAAAGCACAAATTTATCAGGGCTGTTTTCTAGGAGCAACAAGGTGGATTTCTATAAATTTTTTAAGTCTTGAGTTGATGGGTGAGTTACTAAAATAGGGAGGTAGGATAACTTTCTACCAAAGGCCTGACCCAAATGACAGGGGGAACCTTGGGCCAGCTCTGTCCCCTAAGAGAATCTGTGCAGCTCTCTATCCTTCCTACCTCCAGCTCTCTATCCTTCCTACCTCTGCAACAAATGCGCAACAGATCTCACGAATGTCGCGGTGAATATAAAAATGGATTAGGAGCAAGTTGGTCTTGATACGGAGGAGGAAAGAAAACATGAGCATGGGTGCTGGAGAGAAGGTAAGGGCTTCACTCTAGTAACAGAACAAGGCAATGGTTAAGATGAAGCCAAAGGGGCCAGGGCATGTATCAAGAAAAAGTTCCTTCAATTGAGACCACATCTGCCCATACTTACCAGTTTTGCCAGCACCAAACCCATGATCAACGGCTCATTTATTTTTGGATTCCTAGAGGTGGGAAGAAGAGAATACTGGATGTATATGGCATTTAAAAAAAATACAAAAAACCCTCCAACGTGGGAGGGCTGGGATGATGTACAAGGGCAGCCGCCTCCCCTATATGGTTCCTTTTTTTTTTCCCCCTTTCTACCCTTCCTGTTCCCAACACCTCTCATCCAATCATACCTGTGGAAGCCACATTCCTGCGCAAAGCTAAATCTGTAAGTGAAGGCAGGGGGATGGCAGAGCAAAGCAAAAGAATATAAAGATACTTCCCTTCTCAACTCTGAAAGCTGGGAAGGTTCAGTAAGAAAATGGAGGAGTGTTATAAGATTCTAGGGATCTGGAACTGAAAAGGTTGGAGAAACAGAAAATATTCAACTCTATTCCCTTATTTTATCACCTGTTTGGTTGGACTTTTTCAGCATGGAATAAACATATGTTGATATTTTCAGGTCTTATCAATACGCAGGCACAAAAGTTATGAATTGAGCACCTCTGCTAAGTACCAGGCTAGACTTTGCATATACAGAGAACAATTACAGACCTGTCCCTAGAGGAGCTTGTAGTCTAGTGGAAGAGACAAGCATTACACAAGTAAATCCACAGATGAGTGTGCATTATAATTATGATAACTGAGAATCAGGAAATAAGTAAGGTGCTGTGAGATGGGGGAAGGACCAAATTTACCTAATGGCCTCTCTATTAAAGTAAACTTTAAGCTGAGATCTGAAAAAGGAGGATGGGTTAGCCAGGCCAAGAGTGCAGAGGAAAGTTTGCTGAGCGGAGGGAACAGAGGTCAACAATCCTAAAGGCGGTAGAACCATGGCATGTTCAGAGACCTGAAAGAGGCCAGCATGGCACAGAGAGAGTGGTAAAGATGGATTTGGAGGGAGAATCAGGAGCTAGACCATGTAGGTCTTTGTAGACCATGGTCAGAAGTTTAGAGATCGTTCTAAGTGTGTTGAGAAGTTATTTAAGGTTTTTAGGCAGGGTGATGCCATGATCTGATTTATATTTTAAGAAAAGCATCCCAGCTATGGTGTGGAAGATGAATTAGAAAGAAGCACGAGGAGATTCTTGAAGAGGCTGTGGTAGGAGTCCCAGGGAGAGATGAAGGTAGCTGGGCCTGGGGAGGTAGCAGTGCAGGTGGTGAGGTAGCAGTGCAGGTGGTGAGGTATGGAAGGTCTGAGACCTACTTTGGTAGTAGAATTGACAAGATTGAAAAAGAGATTGGGTTGAGTAGGAGTGGGTGGTAAAGGAGAGAAGGGTATCAAGAATGAATCCCAAGTTTCCAGTTTATGCAATTGGGTGGATGTGTTTCTATTTACTGAGTTAGAAACACTGCAAAGGAAGAACTTGCAGGGGGGTAATTACTGGCAATCAAGAACTCAGTTTTGAACATGGTATGTTTGAGATGTCTCTGAAGTAGGTGTCCAAGTAGGCAGTTAGATATTTAAGATCTGCTCTCAAAAGAGATGTCTGCTTTGGAGATATCAATTTGGGATTCGTCAGAATAGAGGTAGTATTTGAAGGTAGGAGAAAATATTGGTTTCCATATCAGACCAGGCATTGAAAAATAGAATAGAAAATGGTAAAGGTGGAATGGATCTTAGAAATACTCCAGTCTAAACTCGTTTCTCAACTGATAGCAAAATTGGGAGCTAAAGTGAAGCCATTGGTGGAAATGGAGTTGATAGGAGCCTAGGTCTCCCTTTTGGAAAAGCACTTTTCTTGTTTTGCAATGTCTTGTCAACATTTGACATCAAAATGGGGGAGACTGAGAAATCGCCTATGTGAGACATAATTATACTGGTATGGCTCATGGTGTCATGTCTCTTATTTTATATATGCTATATGTAAACCACCACGTCCTCATAAGTAATTTGCTCCCCTCTTCCTTTCAGAAACTTGGAACCTTTTCTGCTGGTTCCCTACTTATTGAAAAGATGATGCAGTCATCTCAAATGAACATACCTGGGCAATTTGCTATCGAGGGGGTCCATGCCTTACAGTGGGGACTGAGCTGCCAAGGGACTTTCCTGTGCAGCTCCATCCTACTCAGTTTAGCACCTGTGGCCCCTGCAATTATTTAGTAACCGGACCATCTCTCCTCCCGAATGTGAGTGCCGGAAAGTCAGGAGCTACTTTTACTTTCCTTGGTATGTATCTTAATCTCGCCCTGGCACCTGTGATAAGTAACTTAGTCATCTAATACATGTTTTGAATTAGGGGGACCCAATAAACTGAAACCTTCCATTGGATTTAATGCACCTTTAGTTATCTTTCCATCCTTCCAAGTAAATACATTTACAGAGCTCATGCTATATGTCAGGTATGGTGCTAAAGGTTGCAATCGTGTTCAGTCTTTAAAATGCAGGTATCATGTAACAGTGGCGATCAGCTCTCATCCAGTATATTTAGGCTTATTCATCTGTATACTTTGCATACCTTCCATCCAATTCAACAAATATTGTGCATCTGCCACGTGTATAGAGAGGTAAGAAGGGAACCCTCTGTCACTCAGGGCTATAAGGTCAGTGCAGGAGAGAGATATACTGGACACTAGCAATGACAAGGGCCATCACTGAGCTACAAACAATAGACTTGGTTAAATACGGGAACGTGATTGCTTCAAACTAAGAGATCTAAAAACGTTTCTTGGAGGGGTGGAGTTTGAACACAATAATAAAATAATGTAAAATAATGAAAGTATCCTTGAAATAATCATCAAAGTAATAAATCTCTGAAATCATAAGAGCTAACACATATATGGGACTTAGTACATACTGTTCTAAAGTACTTTACACTTGTGAGCTTATTTTATCCTCACAACAATCTCATAGAATGGGTGGTACTGTTATCCCCACTTTACAGATGGGAAACTGGAGCACAGAAAGTAATTAAGGTCAAACAGCAGAGATGGGGATTTGAACCCTAGTGATGTAATACTTTGCTCTTTGTCATTAATGTCTCCTGCCTTATGAATGAAGGTTAGAACTTCAACAGCCAGGTTTAGAAGAGGGGGTGTGGGGAGGAGGGCATTTCAGACAGAACGAAGAGCTGAAACAAAAGCACAGAAGTTAGGGATACACCTAATAATGCTTTATTTTGCCTAGAAAGCTGTATAGTTTGCAAAGAACTTTCTCAGTCATTCTTTAATGTGCTCCTCCTTGTGACCCTGTGAAGTATGCCATGATTATTATTCCAATTAGAAAGATGAGGAAATTGGGAGCCAGGATGGGAAGGCACCAGCTGGGCTAGTGAGATGCAGTGTGAAATTCAAAACCCAGTCATTTCACTTCAGACCAGTGCCTTTTCCCATGTTGCAGTGCTAGCAACTAAATATATTCATTGCTCCCGGTTCTGAGCAAGGCTCCAAGCTAGCCTTTTCATATATGTTCTCATTTCATCTCCACAATGGCCCTGAGAGGTAGGTGTTGTTGCATTTCCAAAGAGGAAACAGTTCAATTCTGCCTCTACTTTTTTTTTGAGAATACTAATGATTCCCTATGAGGCACGCTGATTTTCGGGTTCATGCTTTGTCCACTCTTTGGTCCCTGGGAACCCCTGAGGCTGGAGTATTACCTGTGCTTGAGCACAGGCAGCTTCTCTAAAAATGGAAAATCCCGATTCATCTCTTAGCCAAATCCTTCCAGTCACTCCTGCATTTGGCCAACCTTTGCAGTGTGGTGAAAGTCAACATTTAAATATGAAACCCGGCTTGGTTTCCAAAAATTTAATTGCGTTATTAAGAATTAGTTGCAACTGGGCATTGTGATTCTCTGAGGGGAAAGGCTGGGAACGAGGCTGACCAAACCCTCAAGGCTGGCCAGCAATTTGGTGCAATTGCTGAAATACTTGATGTAACCTGGGTCCGCACTGGTTGGCGGTACCATCTGCAACTCAGTTGAGTACCCGCTGTGTAGGGCAGAGTTCTAGGCCCTCCAGGAGAAATATAAATTAGTGGCTAGAGAAAAAGATTGGCTGTACCGTGGATCCAGTGACATGTATGTCAAATGCCAAAGAAAACCCATCAGGCAAGAGCTGGTACAAATTCGCAGCCAGCCCCACAGCCTGAGGCAGCAAGGGCTGGATTCCCAAGCATCAGCTTTGTTTGCGCATGTTCAGCCTGGGAATCAGGTAGAGAAGACTCTGTAGTCCTGTTGCCTTCCGGATTTGATTAAGGCTCTTAGGAGGGTCACGACCTCAGCCTCGAAGGGCAACATTGGAAAAAGACAACAAAAACGAGAGATAAGATGACTAAAGCTTTTAGTGCAAAGAGGAGGAAGGATGCATGGAATGAAAACTGGGAAGTTTCCATTTGATTTTCACGGCCACCAATATAGTGAAGGGCCTGGTTTTGAAAGCTGTTGTCAAGCCTTTCAAGAGTCTCCCTGCAAGCCGGATGCCAAGCCAGAGGTCTAAGATGATTTCTCTCTGTGCCTCTTGCCTTGGTGTGCTGATTTATAAAAGGGGAAAGCAACTGCTAGCTCACAGGTATTCTTTTGAGGATTAAATGTGGTAGAGCACAGTAAATGGCTCATTAACATAAATGGGTAGAAAATAGACTGTTTGATATCCTGTCCAGCTATCCCAGCCATCTGGTGAACAATGGGAGTAGAGAGTTAGACTCATTTAACAGAAACTTAGAAATCATCTGATCCAACACCTGAATGTGGTAGATGAGAATGGAGAAGGCACCCAAGGTTGCTGAGGAAGTGAGAGGCTGAGTGGGGTTGTGGATGTGGGGAGGAGTGAGATCCTGAGAGCTTTGCTGAGCCCCCTGGGTCTTCATGTCATAAGCCAAGACCCAGAGGTTCCAAATGGAAATAGCATCCCTGAGATCAAAGAGCTACTAAGCCAATGAGGGGGATTCGAAGCCTGGTTGAGTTCAATCCAAAGCCCATGCTTTTGACCGTACACTATCTCGCCGGGTTTTCTGCTTCCTTGCAAAGACCAATTTTTCAAGGTTTCCAAAGCACCTTCAGAAAGCAGTGGCGGCTAGGGAGAAGGTTGTTTTTATTTATTTCAAAGTCTGTCTATGAGTCACTGTGTAACCCTGCTTTATGCAGCTCAGTTTTACAGTCTAAAATGTCTAAATGCACCAGATGCCCCAGGCCTCTTTCACCCCTAACACTCTAATTGGTGCTTCACACCAAAGAGAAAATGGTTCTCCTTTGCCTCCAAATCACTTCTTTAAAATTGTCTGTATATGTTTCTTATGATTATCTGAGGCCAGTGCAAAGAGATTACCTCCTTTTCCCTACCACTAGCATCCAGTAGGTGCTTAATACACTTTCAGGTGCATAAACTTGTTTTTTAAATTGGGGTATAGTTGTTTTATAATGTTGTGTTAGTTTCTACTGTACAGCGAAGCGGAGTTCCCTGTGCTATACAGCAGGTTCTTATTAGTTATCTATTTTATACATATTAGTATATATATGTCAATCCAAATCTCCCAGTGCATAAACTTTTTTGTGTGTGTGTGTGTGGTATGCGGGCCTCTCACTGCTGTGGCCTCTCCCGTTGCGGAGCACAGGCTCCGGACGCGCAGGCTCAGCGGCCATGGCTCACGGGCCCAGCCGCTCCGCGGCATGTGGGATCTTCCCAGACCAGGGCACGAACCCGCGTCCCCTGCATCGGCAGGTTGACTCTCAACCACTGCGCCACCAGGGAAGCCCTAAGCTATATTATTCTTATGCTCTGCTGAAAATTTAGCTCAAAATCCTGATTTCTTCTAAATTGTTACCATATACTGCCATACATAGTACATTCATAGCACAAGGCAGTGGCCTAGAGAAGGGTTTAGATTCACAGGTGGCACATGGACCTTCCTTTTCACTTTTTGAATTACATTTAACAGCTTAGAGTCTGTTATGTGCCTGGACCCCTGATGTTAGACTTGAGTATTATTCACTTGCCCAAACTCAGGTGACTGAGGCAGCGCTGTTGGTTGCTGAATTAGTTGCATCTAGGTCTCTGAAAAGGCAGCCCGTGGAAAGAGCACAGACTCTTAAAACAAAGCTAGTTTCTTCTGGCTCTGACGCCAAATACCTGTGTGACCCTGGGCAAGTTACTTAACTTCTCTGAGCCTCAGTTTTCTTAGCTCTAAAGAAAGGGGGAATAATACCCAACTTCCAAATGTATGTAAGGATGAAAAGAGAAGTAATTCCCAGAACCTGGTGTACAGGGAATAACAAGCATGTCTCCAAGTTCTTTGGCCTGAGCGAGTGTACCAAATGGAATTGTTATTTACCAATAGCACAGGGGATAAATAGCACCTCATCTGGACACTATCCATGTCTACAGGAAGGTACATCTTCCAATCCTGCCTTCCATGTCCCTCCCATACTTGAAAGCCCTGATGAAAGATTTCTGAATTCATCACCAATTTGGAGCCTCCTTTCCCCTTTCCTTGCCACTGGGATAATTTCAGCGACATTCTCATGCATTTCACTAATCCCCTACAATCATCCCGCTTTCAGAGTGTAAAGCACTTTCCCATCCATCACCTCATTTGATCTTCACAACAGCCCCATGAGAACACAAGCCAGTGTTGTTATCCTTCTGTGGCAGATGAGCAAGCAGAGGCTTAAAGAGGTTAAGTGGCTAGTCTAGGGTCACACTTCCAGATTCAGGTCTATGACTCTGAATTCTATCCATGAGCTTTCTGTTATACCAAGCAGCCATGGGATTTTTGCTACTTACTAAAAGACAGACAATAGGTATCCTGGAAGAAATAAAAACAGGAAGGTATAGACTGACAGAGAACAAGTCCGTTAGTCTGACCTTCCCCATCCCCCCTGGTCCCCACCAGGCCCTCGCCCAGTGTTCTTCTCTCCTGGGCACTCCCTTCTCAGCCTCTGGTCATTCAGGTCCTCCCCATGGTTCAGAGCATCTCTTAAACCCACGCTCCTCCACGAAGCCTTTGGCCAACCACCCACCCACTTTTTAATCTAAAATTTACTGAATGCCAGACTCTGTGCTCTACTGTCTTCTAGTGGGGAGAAACAGACAATAAACTCAAGAGTAAATAGAGTTTATTTTATTACCATAAAAACATTAGTTTTTATGGTAATAAAAGCTAAAAAGGAAAAAAGCAGAGAAGAGGGACAGGGCATGTGTGAGGGGTAAGGATGCAAAGTGAGGCAGACTGCTAGTGTAGGTGCACTGAGCAGGTTACACTAGAGGCAGAAAGGAGGCAAGGGAGAGGACCGCTTGGGTATCGGGGTGACAGCAGCAGGCAGAGACTGCAAGCACCATGACCCTGAGCCAGTGTGTGCGCTGGGTGTTTGAGGAACAGCACAGAGGCTGGTGTCTCTGGTGCAGAGTGAAGGAGGCCAGAGCAGTGGGAGAGGAGGGCAGAGAGGAAGGGGAAGTACACTGTACACATCCCATTGGGCACTGGAAGAACTTTCTATGACTCTGGATGAGATGGAAAGTCATTGAGGGTTTGGACAGAATCTAAAGTTTATTTTCACAGCAGAGCTTTGGCTGCTCTGTTGAGATGGGCAAGGAGGGAGTATATATACTATTTAGGAGGTGTGATAATAATTCTGGAGAGAGATGATGGTGGCTTGGACTAGGAAATGGTGAGCAGTGTTCAAATTCTGTATATATTTTTAAGGCAGAGCCAATAGTATCACTGATAGTTTGGATGTAGGTCATGGGGAAGGAAGAGTCAAGCACAGCTCCAGGTTCTTTGGCCTGAACCACTGTGACAAGTGGAATTGCTATTTACCAAGAAAAGAAAGGCTGCAAGTGGAACAAATCTGAAAGAGTCAGGGGAACACTGAGAACTCCAGCTTGGAGGTGTTCAGTCAGAGAAGCCAAATACACAGGCAAAGGACTATGACTGAACAGGCCGCTGCATTTCGGAGTCTGGAGTTCCAGAGAGAAATTGAAGCTGGAGATAGAAATTTAGGAGTTGTCACTCTTCAGATTTTATTAAAACCGTGAAACTGAATAAGATCCGCAGGGAAGTGAGCACAAACAGGAAGAGGTCTGATGGCTGAGCCTCAGAACACGTCCTGGTCAGAGGTTTGGAAGAAGTTTACCAGCCAAGGTGAATGAGGAGTGGCCAGGGAGATAGGGGGAAACCTTGATATCCTTTTTGTGAAGACCTGACAAAACCTGTCTGTCCTCTTCAACTCTTGGCTCATGTTTCTTGGGTGGAGGCAGACTGCAGGCATCTTTAGAGTGAATACATATCACTTCTCCACCCTCCACGGTGCTCAGCATCTAGGAGCCCTTCAGTTAAAACTCAGCTGGTTGTCTTACAGCTGAATCACAAAATGATCAAGCGTAAGGGACCCAAGAAATCATCTGGATCTATGATTTCCCAACTGTATTCTTTGGAGCAAGGCAGAGTTCTTTTGTTTCATCATTGGGAAACCTCTCTTTTCCTAGAAGGGCTAATAAAAGCAACAGTGTTCTGGCAATCAAAGGCCTCACCCCTTCCTTCTAAGAAATAGTTGAGCTTTCCATCAGACATCAGACATTTCAGAAAGCTCCAAGGGCTTGGATCTAGTCAAGAAAATCTGCTAGCCAGAGGGGCTAAGGAGCAACATGCAACATACTGTTCTCTGAGAGTCCGGCCTCATTTCAGATTGATTTGAGAAAGGAAGACACCGTCTGCCATATTCCTTCCTCTTAAGACCAGCTGAAGGCCCAGGATCCTAAACAGGATAGTAGAGATCATCTAGTCCAACCACCTCTTAGAAAGATGAGGAACTTGGGCCTAGAAAGGCCCCAGTTATCTTGTTCAAAATCACATACCAAGTGTGTTGGATCCAAGACTAGACACCAGGTCTCAACTTGAAAATTTCTGCTCAGAAGCAGATTCAACTAAACTCTATGAGCATTTACTATATGCCTGCAAACATGCCAGGTATTTTTACGTGTTATCATTCTTAATCCTCACCACCACCTCTAAGACGGATCTTATTATCCCCCTTTTACTGTTGAGAGCAATGATGCTCAGACAGGAAAGTGACATGTCCAGGGTCACATGGCTGGCATGTTGGAAGAGTAGGATTGGAGGCCATGCCTGTTTGTCTCAGAGTCCAGTGCTCACCCCAGCACATCTGCTACCTTCCTCAGCAGGTCTGTCTCACAAGGTTATGTATTCCCACAGTACGAGCGACTGCCCCAGAGACCCTGCCCTCCTACCCATAGGTGACTCCCCTCCAGCTTGGTGTGTTAATGAGTGACTTAACTTTGAGTCCAGAGCGTGGATTCTGAAACCAAACTGCCTGGGCTTGAATCATGACTCTGCCACTTATTAGCTATGCAACCTTGGGCCCTGGAACTCCCCTAAGCCCCAGTTTCCTCATCTACAAAATGGGAACAATGATGTACTTACCCCCAGGGATTAGGATTAAGTAATAGAATGCGTGTAAATCACTTAGTAATGTCTGATATGTATAGCACATATTCAATAAATATGAAACGTAATAGTCAATGGCTGACTTTTTAAAAACCCTGGCACTGTTTTGAAACATACTGTCCAATGCTTCAAAATTCATTTCTGGTTTTTTTTTTTTTCTACTCTTTTTCAAATTCCCCTCTCATTTAGACTGCCACATAACATTGAGCAGAGTTGAAAAAGAATAGAAAAAAAAAATCATTTCTGGAATATGTCTAGGTGGGGAAGCCAGTACCAAAATCCAGACCTGACATGTTTTAGGAGTTCCAACAACACGCTCTGTATCAATTAGGGTTCAACTAGGAAAGAGAAGTGATATGGAATTAGATCTTACACAACTGATACAAGACCCATGTCGTATCATTATGATAAGTCCTAAAAACCTCTTTGAAATATCAATGAAAAGGTAAAAATAGTAAATACGTGGGTGTATGTATAGAAAAATTACTGGAAGGAAGTTCATTAAAATGTTCACAGTGGATATTTCTGAGTGATGGGATAATGAGAGGTCTTAATTTACTATCTTTTATTTGCTTTCTAATTTTGTATACTAAACAGGTATTCAAATCAGAAATTATTTAATTGTTAATATTTACTGTTCATTTCTTTCTTTCTTTACCTAACATCTTTTTTCTCTAAAAAAGCCACAAGATAAAGAATTGGAAACACTTATGATTATAAAGCTAATGATGGAGAAGCGACAAGAAGGAGTTAGAATGCATATGGGATAGGAACGTAGGGCAGGTAGTCACTTGAAATTGATTTAATTTAGGAAGTGTAATCCTCTGGATTCTGAGAATCGTGAACAGAAGATATCGTATCCAAGTGAGAGCTTAAAATAAAAAGAAATATCCAGCGTGTTGGTGCCATGAAACAGACACTCAACTGGGATGTCAGTGTGTCTGGGCTGGAGTCCTGGCCCATCTTCAGGAACTGACTGCATCTCACCCTCCCTGTGACTCCCTTTTCCCCTCTCTAAAGTGAGAGCCCTCTGCGTAAGGGGTTTCCTGTCGTGTCTGTGCATTTTATTTGCCAGAGCCTAAGGTCATTGGTAGACGGGCGACTGGGGAGGTTGGGAGGCGGGTGCTGGGTGATCACAGTGAGACCTCTGACTACTGTGGGGGAAAAGGTGCTGTTTCTCCTGCTCACTGTCACCCTGGCAACCCTGAGAAGAGAGAGGCAGACCAAAGGCAAGACAAGAAGTTTGAGGATTTTTTTAACATTCTTGGTGAAGCATGTACAGACCAGAATCTGATATTCTAGATAGAGCCAAAGAATGTCAGGCCTGGAAATGTCAAAGACTATGTAGTCCAACCCTTAAGATGGGGACACGAAAACCCACAAAGGCAGATCACTTGTCTAAGACCACACAGAGCCTGGAGAGAAACAGGCTCCTAGCTGAGTGCACTGGTCATTCTACCTTGGTTTCTCCAAGGTCCCACCAATGACTGATGTGAAGGTGATGATAATGACTGAGAGAGGAGGACCTTAACCTTGATGGGAACTAGAAACTTTCTTCCATGAGTAGGCACCGTAAATTGTTTAGTTTTCTTCAAGAAACTGATTGCCCACAGCAGCAGACCCAGCTTCTGATCAATAGTCATCACTCCTCTCTCTAGTATTCCAGAGGTGATCCAGGTGTGATCAGTCTAGACTCTGCTAGACAAAGCTCTTGGGCAGTGCCGACCGGCTCGGAGCGTGCTCTGTAACTGGTGCCTCTCCCTGATAACAGATATGGACCTGCCTAAATTTGCTCCTGGATCTCAACAGAAACCACATAACTGGTCATTGCTCCCAGAACACCTCCCTACTAGTAAACTTGCACATAGCTGGCGACTCAGCTAAGAAAAGTAATGAGCCAAGAAAAACCAAAAAGAGTATGGTTTTGATATACAGGATTTTATTACTGGCATTAGTCAAGTAATTGTGGGCCGGCCAATTTTCAAAGCAGTCTTAAAAAATAATCCTTTCCCTTGATTCCCAGACACTGTGCAGAGAAAGAAGGATGAGAATATAACCTTTTCAAAGCTCCTTTTCTCTGAGTCATTTTAGTAACTCCACGGACTCAACTCTAGAGTCTAAAGACTTAATCTTAAAAGATCATTTTGTGGGAAGAGGCAGTGAGATGTAATAAAAATCACACTGAACCTAAAGCCAAAAGAGTGATGATGTTTTGATGCTTCTATCTGCCAGGTGTTCAATCCTGAACAAGGCATTTCATTTTCAGGCCCTGCTGTTCCCAAAAACCTGGGGTACTATTCATACTTTTCCCTTCAAACTCTGTTGTGTTGTTCAGAGGACAAACACAGTGAGTTTAAAACCATTTGAATACTATTGTTTCATTAATTATAGTTTTAGTACAAGTTTTCAACAGCATTGGGCCTCTGCACAAAATGAAATGGGTCTCTGGGTATCAAATGTAGATGCACATTTCTGAATGGATTGGGAAAAGAATGTGGAAGGACAAAAAAAAAAACAAACAGAAAGAAAAAAAGAAAAATTCATTCTTTTCCTGGAAAGCTCTGTTGTTTAATCCTATTCTTGGAGTAAAAAATCCTGGCCATGCTGTAGGGAACAGAACACAGCTTCTCTTTGATGTCACCCTCACCCCACAGCCAGTATCACTTCCCTTTTTTCCCCAACAGATTCAAAACCCTCATGTTTGGGCTTCTCTGGTGACCACGATAAACGTTTAAATCCCCTGCGATCATGTATTATAACCTAAACAACCAAAAGGAAGACAGAGAAGGAAGAGGAGAGAGAAGAAAGAAAGAGGTAAGGTTGTATTCTTTGGAAGGAGGATGTTTAGTGAGCCTTATATTTTAGTTTAGAGCCAAATAGTCTTTTTTCAAACAGAGAAGTTTAGTGTAACTCCAGACAGGAGCAGGCAGGAGCAGAAACGTGAGTGCTACTCTCCAGCTAGTGATATTACCACCCATTTGTGATTCCTGAGAGAGAACAGAGGAGCAAGCCAGGCCTTAACACCCCACCTGGCATCAGTGAGCATGGACCTGGCCTTTCAGGTCCAGTCCTTCTAGGGATGGGGCTCTCTCCTTCATCTTGGGTTCCACCTGAAGTCAGGGTGAGTCCTACAAAGATTCCGAACACTTCTTGATCCACACAGACCAAGCTGCCATGCCGGCCAGCGTCGGGCTGCACTCCTTCATCCAGCCAGCAAATCAATGCAAACCCAAGATGAGGCATGATGAGAGTTAGGGGAGGAAACCTCTCTAGTGGCTCCTTTACTGTGTCATTCTTTACCTCATGAGTCACTCTCCACACCCCACCGTGCACACCAGGACTCAACCGCCTTACCACATCTGGCCAGATGCTACAAATGCTGCCTCCAGAGGCGATGACAGCTCGACATGGTCCTCTCCCCATTGTATTTTAGATCTTCCTGTGCATCGTTTTTCAAGTGGTCAGTTCTCCGCTGGAGGGAAAGACAAGCCTGGTACAAGACCAAGCCGGTGATCATTAGCCAGCTCTGTGCCTTGAGCAATGCGTGTGTTGTTATACTAATCACTTGATTGATGCAGGTTCGGTTGGGAAATACTACATTTTAAGGAAGTGCAACCTTTAACTTCTGAGTTGGAGCAGGCAGCATGCCAAGGGAAGGAGGACTGGATTAAACTAGAGAACAATTCTCTGAGCCATGGGCATTGAGCTGGGCACAAACCAAGCCGGGTCCCGGGATTCTCGGAGGATCCAGGAAGAAGTGGGCAGGCAGGTAAGGGTCGGGCACCACAGCAAATACCAGCTAGGTGATCTTGCCCCCTCCTGTGTGCCAAGTCCAGGTCTGGGCATGTCAGTTACCTCTACTGAACTTTTTTGCACACTGCTGCTGTTCATATTTAATCAAAATTTATAACCCATGGCTCAGAAACCTGGAATATTTGTGTCTTTAGCCTTAAAAGACTCAATTAGCCCATGTGCACAGTTGGCCTCTCTCTCTTCCTCAGCAGGGTTGAAAAACTTGTTTCTTTTTTTTTTTAATGTAAAGATAAAACCCATCACCCACATTCCAGAATTAGCCTGATAAGATTAGGTAGGATCAGAAAATCGTAAAATTGTTGGGTTCAGAAGGTCTTTAGAGATCACACCATATCTGAATCTGCAACATAACACCCCTGAAAAAGTGTCCATCATACTCCTTCTTAGATATCTCCAGGCTGGGAACTTTCTGTCTCCCAAGGTGACCCATTCCATGGTTGGTCAGATTTAGAAGTTGGGTGTTTTAAACGTATTTATTGGTTCAATTATAAGGAGGAATTTATCACAGCAAGAGAGCACTCACCAAAGACATTTGGGGCTGTGTGTAGGTTGGTGACCTCAATGGAGGCAAACAGGATCCATGACCACAGACTATACCCCAAATCCCAACTCATATAAGTCCTTGGTCAGCAGAGTGAACAGAAAAATATTGGATGCTGCACACAGTGCCAGGACTAGAGATATATTTACAAACGATAGTCTTAGGTGTTTATGATAAAGTTCGTGTGAAAATCCTTCATTGGTCACAGAGAAAGGAACTTGAACTGATCTCCTTTGACTTTCACTTTTAAGAGAACATATGAAATTCAGGTCAGTATCATAGTTTTTCAGACACCAGATAGACATTTAATCTTTCCCACCAGCTTAGTAATTTCTATAGGTTTTCTTCCTCTTGAACCGATACCTAGGTCGGAAAATCATAGACTTGGGCGCCTAGTACAGTTTTAGGACTAGAAGATTCCCAGAAGAAATCTTACCTGATTTCTTCATCTTAAAACTAGGAAACTAAGGCCCAGAGAGAGGAAGCAACTGACCCAAAGTCACAGAGCCCTTTTGGGATGGAGTCAGGACTAAATCACTGGTCTCCCTACTCCTAGTAGAGTGCTCTGCTCTTCATTATCAATGGTGATATGCTGAGTATGTACAAAGGGTGATGATCTCTCTAGTGTGCTTTGGGACAGGTGCTACAGAAAGTTTTATGGAATAGAGGAACGAGCGTGCCTCTCCCGTCTCCCCATGTGGCAACCTTGTGGAGGAAGGATTGCTAAAATGCCTTTTAAGATGTCAATACACAAGGACAACAACAAAAATACACTGTGAACACTGTCTAATTGTATCTGCATGCAAATATGTCCGAATGGTCCTCATCATAAGACCTACTAGTTACTGTGCATCTACCATGTTCCAAGCACTTTACATAACTTATTAGTTCTAATCCTCCCAAAGACTCTGTGAGGTTAACGTTATTGTTTTTCATATGAATAAACTGAGGCTCAGATGATGCATGGCCAGTGTGGCAGAGTCAAGATTTGGGGCCCAGTCTTCCCGGCTCCAAAGCCTGTGTTGTTTTCACCATAGCCACCACCTTCTCTAGATTATCTCAAACCCACTCCTGTGTCCCACCCACCAACAAGCCCCAAATATTTTCTATCGCTGGTCCTGGTGTGGAATCAGGTTGAGATTTTTTTTTTTTTAATTCTTTGACGATTCAACTTAGTTATCTCCTCAGGCAGTTTGGGAGGTATCTCCCCTTTCTCTGGTGTGTTCTTTTATTTAAGGCATCTTATAGAAAACAGGGCAAAGTAAGACCCTAGCATCTGGTGGTAAGTTGCAATGTTTGATATGTAAACATAAATAAGTAGAAATAATAACATTCCAAAAAATGTATTCATTAGTCATAAATTTAAAAACTGTTGTTTGTACCAAAACATCTTTATATTAAAAGATTATGAAATATAAAATCAGAGCTTTTTTTTTTTTTTTTGCTGTAGAATTAGGTCCAGCACCTGGTTATAAATTCCTTGCATAAATAAAAAATTTTCTTTAATATATATGTCTTAAAAATATACATTTGTTTTTTTAAATAGAAAAAAAATACAGGGATTAAATTTGCATTTGCCTTAATAAAGAAATATCTACTTTCTAGGTTAGAGTAACATTTAAATGCCAAAAAAAAGATCATGGATTCTGATAGATACAGTGGTCTGGTAAAGTGAAAGAAGATATAACTGTGTGACTTTGGCAGAATTATTCTATGCTCCTCTTAAAGTCTTGGGTTAAAGTCCACAAACATGGAACATCACAGTCCTCTTGGAGCTCTGCTGCAGAGGACGACTGTATGGCAGTTTAAAGAAGCCACAGCCCCGGGCCAACAAAAGTACTGTCTTCTTAAAAATGAAGTAGTTATAAGGTGCAAGATGTATGATTTATACTCCTATTTCATACCCAAGTGCAAGGTAAGCATCCTCTCTTCCTTCTAAAATTCACTAGGCATTCTTCAGTTCAAATACACAAACAATTAGAATCAATGATAGAAGTATGATAAAAATAGCTAACCTTAAGTGAATGCTTCTTATAAGCCAGGCATTGTTCTATGCCCTTTTCAGGTATTAGCTTTTTGGTCTTCACAACAACTCAGTGAAAGAGGGGTTGTGATTATCTACTTTCCTAAATGCCCTAATTTGTAGAGCTGCTATATGAGGGAGTCTTTGTTCAGAGTGAGGCAGTGACTGCAAGAGGCTGGGATCTCCCACCACAGCGCTGCCATGCCTCCAGCCCTGGCCAGTGAGTGGGTCCTCCACTCTTGATTTTTTTTTTTGCTGTATGCGGGCCTCTCACTGCCGTGGCCTCTCCCGCTGCAGAGCACAGGCTCCGGACGCGCAGCCTCAGCGGCCATGGCTCACGGGTCCGGCTGCTCCGCGGCATGTGGGATCCTCCCAGACCGGGGCACGAACCCGCGTCCCCTGCATCGGCAGGCGGACTCTCAACCACTGCGCCACCAGGGAGGCCCCAAGGGTCCTCCACTCTTCAGTCACTAGCCCAAGCAGCAAGGGTGAAGTCGACTGTGGTAAGTATTTGTTCAGGATCTTCGTGGTTTCAGCCGCCTGGATGCCACCATCTTCCTTACCAGACAGAGCTTCCTATTTTGATGGGCGAGTCGTCAGTCACTCTTCATGATCTTCAGCTGTATTTCCTCTTTAAGGGGAGGCTCTTGCTCCTTCAGCACTAGGCTTACCTCACTTTTCATCTCGGAATGTTTTGTTGGTCATTCCCTGAGCTTGAGTTATCTTTACTCTGCCAATGTCTGCTCTTATTCAGACTTGAAAAACTCCAGTCAATTTTCATCTTACCAAAACGTTAGCACCCACAGACCAGGACTCATGTCTGATTTATTCTTTATTCCATATCATCTTCGCAGTATATAGCAGCCTAAATGCTGAAAGAATAAACAGTGGTGAGTAAATGTTGAAAGAATGTGCGAATGACTCCCCTTTGAGAACTTTCTAGACACAGCAGTTCCCTGACATCTGCTCTAGCACTGATTCTTTCATTCATTAACTCTGCAAATACTCCTTGAGCGACCACTACTTGAAGAGAACTTGAAGTCCTGTACATAGAATGGGAGTATTCATGCTTGAAGACTCACACTTTCTTCATTCATCTGTTTGTTTGTTCACTCAATTAATAAGCATTTACTGAGTACTTCCGATGCTAAGAACATGCCCTGAGTGGAGGCATGGGTGTTAAGAACCATGGATTTATACTGGAAATTCCTGGTTTCCAACTTGACTTCATCACTTAGTAGCTTTGTACTTGGGCAACTTTCTTAACCATTGTGGGCCCCTGTTTCCTTATTTGCAAAATGAGGAAAATACCAGTATCAACATCCTCAGTTAGCTGTGAGCATTAAAAGAGATCACACACATTAAGTGCTCAGTAAATCTTAGCCATTAGCTATTATCATTTCCCTGGTAAGTGAAACGAAGAGGAATTAGACATAACCCTTCTCAAGGAGCCGACAAATTCATGGGAATATAAATTTTTAGAATATGAGGTACAAATAAAAATGCTAGGGATGCTCAGATTAAGTAGAGATGATTTACAAGCAGGGAAAATCAGAGACAGCATCATTCCTGGAGAAGGCTGCATTTGGGCAGGTTTGGATACGCAGACGTGTAGGGGAAGGGCGTTCCAGGTGGTGGAAATAGCCCAACAAGTAAATGGAGGTATTAAAGAACAAGCCCATATTCTGGGCTCCTGAGTCAATGGGCAATTAATTTGATCAATTACAAGAGACATAAGGGGGATGGAGAAAGAGGCAATGGTAGTAAAAAGGATCTTGAGAACCAGTGAGTGAGTTTGGGTTCCATTCTATGTCAACTGGGTGTGTATCCATGGTTTTACGTGCATCATTCACTAGTTTTTTCGTTTTCGACTGTGGATGGGTATGGTCATCTGTATTCAAAACTTTTTAGATTTTAAGTTATTTATGCCTTCCTGTTTGGGAAATTTGATCACCTCCCAATGTGCTTTAAGGTCCTTCATATCACCTGAGTGACTCAGTAGTGCTGTGAAGTCAACCACATGGGGAGATGAGGAAACTCACATGGACAGGTAAGATAACCTGTCTGTGGCTAGTACTTGGATGGACTGGGATATGAATGTCATGGCTGCTAATTGCAAGACTTTCTGTTTTCTGAGGTGGGGAAGTGCAAATATACTGCAAGATGGAAGCCAAGGCCATGTTGCCTGAGTGGCAGAGAAGAGACGTTTTGGTGACAGGACCCTCCAGCTGGGGATTGTCTCTGCTGCCACTGGCTGCTTTCTTTAGCTGTGATTTGCAGCAGTAAATGCTACGCAGAATGAAATCAGCTATAGATATTTCCCTTCTCTCCTGGCTTGGCCTGGTGGGTATGTCCCCTCTGGCCTCATCCCAAGTTTCTTAAAGGGCTTCAAAAGAAATAGATATTGACTGAACTCTGGGGTTATTTTTAATGGAAATCCAGGCCCTCATTCCTCCTGTCCTCCACAGAAGAGTCGGGCTGTTAATCTGAACCTTGGGGAATCAGAGGCCCAGTTTGCTTTATTTAGCTTTCAGGGCATTGGATTTTTTTCTTTTTTTCTTTTGCAAAGACCTCAAAGTTCCACTGAAGATAAAAGTATCCTATGTCTCAACGTCTTGACCAATTTAAATAACTCACCCTCTTCTCCAAATCCTATCCTCATACTTCACAAAGTTGGACATTCTCCCTTATGTCTTTTCTTAAGCAGTTGCATAAAAAGGCAGTTTGGGTAAGAACCAACTTATGAGCCTACCCCAGAGGCAATTTACTTAAGTAGTACATATACACACACACAATAATTTCAGTGCATTTATCTAACAATTTATCCAGGAGTTTGTGAGGTCCAAGGAGGAGGCTCTGTGACTAAGGGTTCTCTGTTCCCTAGACTTGAACACTTGTCCTTGCACATAATAAGTGCTCAGTCATTTGTCGATGTTAGTCATTTGTCAGTTAGTAAGCATGCAAGTGTCTCTCCACATGAAGAAGTGCAGAGGGACAACTTGTGGTCAACCACAGTGATTTTCTTTAGCTAGAATTTTCTTATGCTTTTTTGCCTGTTTCCCATCCCTTCGGACACACGCACACACACGTACGCACAAGTTCACTAGTTATGTTTTAACGTTTTGCCTGTGTTCTATTGTGCCAGAGACCTTGATTGCGAGTCACTCAAGACATTTGAAAAGTTTTATTTTGACAGATGTAGTGTAAATTATATCAAGCACACTGTGTATATGTCTAAAAAGTTGTCTTTTTACTTCAGAGTTGTATGACCTTTGTCAAGTTACTTAGATGCAGATCTATAAGATGCAGATAATAATGGTACCTACCTTTTGATAATTAAATGAGGTGATAGAGAATAGAGTATTTAGCCCAGTCTTTGGCACCTAGCATGTGCTCAATAAACATCTGTTAGGATGACAACAGTGATTTTTTGTCTAGATAAACATCTTGGCACAGTGATATGCATTTATAAGCAATAAGCCAACTTCCTCTTTTTTGGTAAGATGTCAGATAAAAATCCAATAAAAGATTTTAATTATTCATGCACTTATTAGCTATAGACTACCCATTTAATCAACATATTTGAGAAGGCTTACAGTAAAATAGTGTAAACAATATCATCATTAACATTTGGATTAGGAAAAGCATGAATCATTTATTGAAACAAAATAGTTATATAGTCCTTTATTGACTTCCTAATGCTTTTTCAAACATTATCTGTTCTAATCCTTAATTTTCACAACTCTTATTAGGGAGGCATTATTACTTAACCTATGTGATGGGGAGTAATGTGACTTGCTCTAGTCCTCACTGTTTAGTATTTGGTTTAGGGACTCAGAAATGTCCAAGAGTCCAAGATCACAGAACCACCCTCCCCAGTAGAAGAGCTAGGAGGCCTTAGTTTGAACTTAAACCCCTGACCAGGGCTGTACTCAGAAGATGTGTGGTTGGATGAATGAACACATCCCCAAGTATAACTCCTAAAGCCAAATGCCATAAAACTGGCATAAAACCCTACCCTGGTTTCACTCTCTTGGTGAAAGATAGGACTCAAGTGAAACTGTTTACCTAGACATGTCCACTCATCCTTTCAGGAATCAGCCTGAGGAACACAGGTAATGGCATTTAGTCATCTATTGAGTGGTTTGCATGGAGTCCTATTTACTTTGAGGAATTCGCACACTCTTTATTTCATGCCGTGAAGTGGTAAAGCAGGAATTGTTTGTGACTCACATTTTGCAGAAGAGAAGACTATGGTCTGGGGAAGTTGAGCTCACCCAGGGTGGAGTGGCTGAGCCCAGACTCGAAATCACCCACTGAGGCTCTGGGCCCTTTTCCCAGTGCCCTTTCCCTGTGTGTATCTCTCCCGCCTCCCACAGTCTCAGCCACGCAGGAATACTGCCTGCCTGAGCCCCAGCCATTGATAGTGTTAGCACCGGTAGAATCAAGATAATATGACAGTCTTACGATCTACAGGCGGATCTCCACATCAGTACAGCTACTGTCGGGTGACACAGCAACATAGCACCTCTGTCTGTAAAATTAAGTTCCCCAGGAGGGAAGGAAAACACTGGTCACTTGTATATACGCTACAACTCGGTAGAATTGGCCTCATGATGGGTGAGAGAGTCAAACTTCTGCATTTTCAAGTCTCCTGAACTTTATCTAGTTGACCACTAGCTCAGCCCTTTTACAGTGCCCTGAAATTTTCCATGCTTGGCAATGATCTCAGAGAGACTTTTGACAGTTTTTGTGGTCATTGTTTTTATATCTGAGAAAAAAAAATTTTCCTGATTCGAATTATTCTGTACACATTGCCCAATAAAATAAAGTCAATATACAAA